TATCATTACCATTACCAATGGATACATCGATTTATATTGAAATTAAACGTATGTTAAAATATAAGAACAAAAAAAAAAAAATAACACATAATTTGTTCATATATATATTTCAGTTATTCATTTAAATGGTTCACGACCAACTCGTTATGGTATTAGACTTGATGGTGATGTAACAATTAATCACTTAAAAACTCAATTATCAACATTATCATCATTATCAATTGAACAAATTGGATTTTTTGATATAGCATCATCATCTTGTCTTCGTCGTAATCCATTAATGGACAATGATTACACAAAAATCAAACAATTAAATATTCGTGAATTACTTGCTTATGAATTACCATTAATAGATAAATCATCAAAAATATCAAATGATAAAATATTATCAACAAATCCTTCATTATCATATATAAAAGCAATGCATCGTCGATTAGAACCTCAAGAACGTTATTTATCACCCATGACACGTCATAAAATAATATTTTTTGGTCAACCAATACTTATACCTTATAATTCTGAAAACAAAATAACAAATAAATATATTTATAAAATTGTTTTTAAACAATTAGAACGTTTATTAAGAAATAATAATGATTCAATAAATACATATAATCATGTATTTAATGGTGATGATTCAGTTCAAGAAGGTTATCCATTTATATTAAAACATATTAATGAAGATGGAAAAAAATGTTCAGTATGTTCATGGAATCGGTAAAAATTTTTCATTGAAATGAATTTTTTTGTTATTTGAATTTTCTTTTTTCGAATAGTTTTTGTCTTGGTTGTTCATTTGAACCAAATAATAAAGAATTTAATTATACAAGTGATACTATTGTTATTGAATGGGAAGCATCAGCTTATTATCTTCGTTATTTATCAAATCGTGAACAAGTAAATTAATTTAATAAAGTTTATTTTCAATAAATCTTTTTTTTTTTTTGTTTTTATTTTAAGGATGTTGAAATTCATTCAAGTGTGAAATTAACTCGATCATTAAATAATGATTCAAATGCTGATGAATTATCATCAATTGTTCGTTTAGAAGATTGTCTTGAATCATTTATTAAATGGGAAAATCTCGATCATAAAGAAATGTTTAATTGTAAAACATGTCGAAAATTACAACCAGCAGATAAAAAACTTGATATTTGGAAATTACCACCATGTCTGGTAAGAACAAAAACTATAATTGAAATTTAATCCTAGATTTTAAAAGGCAAAAATCCGAAAGTGCTAATCTGATAACGCAAAAAATTAATATCGAAGGACTTTTAAGATTTATTTATTTTTTATTCATACAGATTTATTTGAAAAAAGTTACTCGATTCTCTCTCTTTAATATATAATAAATATTAAAGCAAACATTACAAAGAATTGTTTAGTGAGAAATATAAGAGTCAGTTTATTAAATGGACCATGGTATCGAATATGTAACATAATGTATTTTTGTTAATGATTGATTCTTAGATATATCTAAGATATATGTGTAATGAATAAAATTAATATCATATGTTCATTATAATTCTTGGAGTGGCATATCTATTGAAAGCAGATGCATAAATGAGAAAATTTGGTCGTTCTAGAGAAGGATAAACACTATGAAGCAAAAATGAGTTTAACTTCGTGAGAATTGCTTTCGTTCTATCCTACCTAGCGGTTTTATATCCAACGTGACAGCCGAAGTGACGGCGCGCCTTTGATGATCGGATTGACTTTTACAGAGTTTGTGTTAAATACTATGAGTCTTTCAAAATTCAGATAAGATAGCCTAAAACATAATTCACTTGACTTTTCTATTCGAATAAAATATTCATAGATATTTCACATAAAACGTTTTCAATTGTCAAATAATCGTTGGATAAAATCATCTCGACCAGTACGTTTTCCAATTAAATCATTTCATCCATCAAAATATCTCGGTCAACGATCTTCAACAAATTCATTATTACAATTTCATCCTACAGATGATACTATATGTACATCATCATCATCATCATTATCATCAATAACAACAACATCTGATGTTATATCATCATCTTCAATTGATAATATGCTTATATTATCACCATCTCGTTTAGTTAATGGTAATCATAATCATTTAAAACAAACAAATGAACAACATAAAGGTTTACCACCACCTGAAAAAATTAATGACACAATAAAAAAAAAGAAGAAAAAACGTTTTGGACGACGACGTAAAAAACTTGAAGTTGAAAATTCTCAATCTACATTATATCCACCAAGATTTAGTCAAATGGCAAATCGTACACTTAGTTTTGGTGATAATAGTTTTGATGCTGATAATGCTGCATATAATTTGTATGCACTTATTGTAAGAAATCATGAATCAAATGACAATGTATTTAATCTATAGATTTTTTTTTTTCTTTATTAATAGTGTCATTATGGAGTTATTGGTGGTGGTCATTATGTAGCATTTATTAAAAATCATACAAATCAACAATGGTATTGTTTTAATGATAGTTCATGCAAAGTAAAAATTTTCTTAAGAAAAATTTATTTTTCAATAATTTTTTGCAATTGTTTTAGCCTGTTTCGGAAAGTATACTTGAACAATGTTCATCATCAGCTTATTTATTATTTTATGAACGTGAATCCATTGATCATCGTTGTTATATGCCGAATGTTGAAGGCAAAAAACAACTCGCTAATGAATTTCCATTAACTGGCGATGATCGTTGGTGTTCTCTAATGTGATTTGATAATGAACAAAAATCCTCCTTTTTTTTTTCTTTATTACTAATCGTGATTATTTTTTGTTTTGAAATATGTTTCTTTCGCCGGTGCTTTTATGTTGTCTTATCAAACAAACAAAACAAAAACCAAGAAAAAATAATTTTCTTTTTCTTTACTTTTTGTTGAATTAAATTTATGCGCGTTTGATCATCGAAATATCTGAAACTTATCTGCTCTGTTTTTTTTCCATTTCATTCTTTTTCTCTTGTACAGCGAATATAACAAAAAACAACAACATGTATGTTTTGTTTTTCTTTTTTTTGATTCATCTTTTGTTTATTATTCTTGTGCAAGCCTTATTAAGTTTTTTTTTTTGGATTTGTATGCGTGCGTACATAAAGTTTTCAAGAAAACTATATGAAAAATGTTTATTAATGATGTTTCATTTGGATAATTCAATTTATATGAACTAAACAATTACATAAATTGAATTAAAATTACACACAGTTCAATAATTCTTTACTTTTGTGAGGATGGATGTATAAATAACACAAATAGTTTCTTATATGAAATAAGTCATTTTTCTTTGATTTTAAACATCTGTACGTGTACTCCAGTTGTATTTTTACATCAATTACTATTGATGTTTAACTGCTTATGAGGCATTCTATGATGCGAAAATTTTGGTCACTTAGAAGAAACATTTGAAAGTTAGAAACAGTCAAAATCAAAAATTCCTACTCATGTAAACTTAATCAACTATGAGAAAAATTTGTTAAAAGTCAAAACTGTTCTTTGGAAAGGATTTTATTTTAATCAATTTGAATTTTGACGAAAATCTATTCAATGCAAAATTTGAAAAACTTTTTAATAGTTTAGTTATGTAGAGCGAATTGCGCTTTACAAATTGTTCTTATTACTTTTCTGTTTTATCTTTTACAACAAAAAAAAAGAAAATATTTTGTATTTAGAAAAAAAACAACAGTTTTTTGACAAAGATCATTTTAAATCGCAAAAACGAAGTTTTATAGAATGTAAAGAGATGAAAAAATAAAACATCGATACAATTTTTATCTAATAGATCATGATCTATACGTAGTTTAAACATTTTTTCTTTTTTAAATTGAAAAGAATTTTCAATATATTAGAAGGAAAGTGTATTTTATACACTGTTTTGTGGAGAAAGTGTAAAGCAACGTGTATTTCGGAAGCAGTAGATGTTGCTTTCGTTGTGTACACTTTTCAATGGAACTAGAGTTATGACAGCTTCTAGTTCTATGAACCGATTCTTTTTTTTTAGAACTGAGTCCAGTGGATTATTCTTTTTTGAAAGCAAGATCTTTTTAGATCTGCAACACTTGAAATTCCTACGTTCAGATGAACTATCAGAGATGGGATTGATTCTTGTTTTTTTTTTTGGAAGCGAAGCGATTCTATCTTTGTGAAATACTTAAAAGAACTTTTGAAACAGATCAATTCCGATCAAAAGAACTGTTAGAACAATTCTTAAGATCAGAACTGATATAGAACTGTCATAGGTCTAAATGGAACATTCCGTTTCCACTATCTCTTTCGGTTCATGTTGCTTGTGTCCAATGGAGTATGCCATATTGATGGCACTGTCAAATAGTGAACAACTTTTCTCTAGAGATCGTTAAACATTACTATTTTTTTCGTGATTCATCGTAATCGTAACCAAAAATGTTAGTCACTCAAGCCACTACTCAGAGGCCACAAAAGTGGAGGGGTGTGTACACCCTTCCTCCAACAATTGAAAATTATTCATTATTACCCATAAAACCACCAAGGGTTTTTGAATTTTTTACTACATCTATAGGACATTTTCTAAATCTACCCTCAATCTTGATGGTCTTGTGCAGCTTCTGTTAATATTTCGTTTAAAAACCTCAATCGATTGTTTCTAACTCAAATTTTTCTTATATATATATCAATTGATAATAAACTTCAAATCAATTAATTTGCCGTCGAGTAGCGTCCTCTTTGTACTAAATTGCAATATATATCCTTATTGCTCAGTATGCGGTTGATTACCTAAATCAAGAAGGAGAAAAGAGAAAAAAAATAAATGTTTGTGAAACATAAAAATGGCGATAGTTGATCGATTCAGTCACCTGAAACGAATGAATAGAAGAATTACTCATTTCTTCTACATGACGTGATTCTTATTTATTTTGTTTTTGGTGTTTTTTTTAATAGATGTAACCTCATCTTTTGATGTAGTTTTCCTTTGTTTTATTTAATCATATAACATCAAATTTAAAAAAAAAAGAAAAAAAATGCCACTTCCTCGTTCAATTAAAGACCTTATAGAAAACGATAGTGAATATGGCAATTTATTTTCGAAAGAAGATCCAGAAAAATTATTCATTGATTTACGAGAAATAGGTCATGGAAATTTTGGAGCTGTTTATTATGTAAGTTCGAATAAAACAAAAAACAACAACAACAACAACAAATCCTTATTTATTTAGGCTCGAAATTCTGAAACAAATGAAATTGTTGCTATTAAAAAAATGTCTGCTGGACGAAAACAAAATGCTGAAGTTTGTTTATGAAATAAAAAAAAAACCAACTTTTTCTTTTAAAATTTAATATCAATTTTAGACATGGCAAGATATTCTAAATGAAATTCGTTTTTTACGTGAACTTAATCATCGTCATTGTATAGCTTATCGTGGATGTTATTTAAAAGAATATACAACATGGCTTGCTATGGAATATTGTCTTGGTTCAGCAGCTGATCTTATTGAAGGTTAGACAAAAAAATAATAAAACTTTAATTGAAATCATATATTTATTTATTTTTAATTAAATTTAGTTCATAAAAAACCTTTAAATGAAGGTGAAATAGCTACAATTGTATGTGATACTTTATCTGCACTTGATTATCTTCATTCAATGCATCGAATACATCGTGATATAAAAGCAGGAAATATTTTATTAACGGAAGATGCTGTCGTTAAATTAGGTTAATTAAAATCTATTAAAAATAACTAATACGAAATAATAAATGACAATCTGTATACTTCTATCAAAAAACATATTTCATAGTTTTTTTGACATGCAATACAACTTATGAGAGAACCTTCTCCAATATCCTGTTCCGATTATAATAATTTTTCTTTATCTCTATAGGTATAAATATCCTAAAAGAGTTTAGACATATAAAATATAATAAAAAAAAACAAACTTCAATGCTATGAAAAACGACAAAATGAAATTGCTATTATGGATTTTAGTAAGGTGTGAATAATTCAAAAATTCAGTAAGCTCTATCAAATCACGTAAAATATATAAAAAAAATTTACTCCAGTTTTGAATTACTTGTACATTAGTAAAACTCATAATAGCAATTTCATTTTGTCTTTTTTCATAGCATTGAAGTTTGTTTTTTTTTTTTTATTGTATTTCATATACAAGGGTTCTTCGCAACAAACAAGTGTAAATATATAGCACTTAGTCTTTACTATACAGACATATTATGGAATTAAATGAATATCGTCTAGTTTTAATATATGACTCAAAACAAAAAAGTGGTGCGAGACTTTTGAAGTTAACTGTAGATCAGCCAAAAGTTTCAAATAAAGTCTCTTCGAGATATAAAACGTTCAAAAACCTATGATGTGTTTTGACTAATAGAATTATACAATTTTGTAGAGAATTCAAAATTGAATCTATTGAAAAAATACTGAGACTATTATTTGTTCTATCACATTCATGAGATCGAATTTCATCTGTTTTTTTAGCTGATTTCGGTTCTGCTTCATTTACAAGTCCAGCAAATAGTTTTGTCGGTACACCGTATGTATCGAATATATTTATTCATTTAAAAGAAGTTTATTTTAAATAGTTATTGGATAGCACCAGAAGTAATATTAGCTATGGAAAATGGTCAATATGATGGAAAAGTTGATATATGGTCACTTGGAATAACTTGTATTGAACTTGGTATATTTTTATTTTGAATTAGTTTTCTAAACTTTTTTTTTTCAAAAAAAATCTTTAGCCGAACGTAAACCACCGTTATTTAATATGAATCCAATGTCAGCACTTTATCATATAGCACAAAATGATCCACCAACATTAATGATGAAAAATGATAATCAACTATCATATACAAATGATTTTATTTCATTTATAGCAATATGTTTACAAAAAAATCCAAATAATCGACCAACAGCTAATGATCTTCGTGATGTAAATATTAAATTGAAAATTAAGCAAAACAAAAAAAAAATGAATTCTTTTCCATTTTTTATTTTTAGACATCATTTATTACAAATAATAGTAATCGAGAAATACTAATTGATTTAATACGTCGTACAAAAGAAGCTGTGAAAGAATTTGATAATATACGTTATCGTCGAATGAAAAAAGTTTTAATGGATAATGAAGAACAAACTACATCAAATACAAATATTAGTCAATCGAATGATTTTATGAATATTGATATTGATAGTTCAAGTAATACTCAAAATGATATTTTAGTAAGCGAAAATAAAAAAAAACGAAATTTTTTCTATATACAATTATTATTAATTATATAGGATGATCCAACATTAGATGATGATGATGATACACAAAGTGTAGATTTTCTATCTCGAAGTAATGGTATACAACTAAATGATGATGATGAAAGTTTAAATTCAAGTCGTTCAAGTCTTCAACAACCACCATCAGCTATATTTAAAGGTGTCGTTATAACAAAACCCTTATCAACAACATCTCAACCAATAAATAATCCGATTTATACAGGCATGCCAGCTAATATTAGTCGACGTTTTTCCGGTGCTGATACAACTTTAGCATCAAATATTAATCAATCATCACCATTACAAAATAATATAAATGAATCAAATGTACAAATAAGAACTAATGTAAGATATTTTTTATTTGACATTTTGGTTTTTTTTTTGATCACATTACTTTTTTCTTGAATTCAATTGTGCTACTGTCACGATCGTTCAGAAAACATCAAAACTAGTAGATTTCATTATAAAAGATTAAGTTTTGCACTTGAAATAAAGAATTTTTATATGTGTATATATTAAAAATATTTCAGATCCAAAAATAAAACGTCTTTACACATTTTTTATAATGAAATTAACTAGTTTTGATGTTTTTTCTACATGGATGTGAAAACACTCAAATGGAAACAGTGCAGATTAGAGTATGACCCGTTGTGTTAGTCCTGGATTCGATCAATAGGATATTTTCATATCCGGATCTGATTAAGTCAAAGTCTGCAATCCATCGGTTAGGCTCTAATACAAAACACAAATACTAAAACAAAGAAATTTATGTTAATTTTTCTTAACTATTCTAGAATCTAGTTGCATTCATGTTATCTTCTAGCTTTATCATAACTTCTTCAATTAATTTTTCTTCTATCCTAGTTAATCTATTAAGAGTTCAACATTTTTCGATCTGAATTCGAAATTATACTCTTAATACTCTCAATCAAATTATTCTAATTCAAATTTGATAGTCACTCCAAAGATATAAGAACCTTTTTATTTTCTACTACATAAACTAACATACTCGAAATATTTCTTCAATAATTTTATCATAATCAAATTATAATAAGCTGTTAACATCGAACATGTTGAATCGATTTTAATGAACTCTAAAATAACTATGGAAAAATTTTAAATTGATTTCAATTTAATTTTAGTCAAAAATTTCTGATCCTTCATCATCACGTCATAATCATCAATCTGTTAATGAATTTTCAACAATAAAAACTTCACGTATTGTTATACGTGAACAACGTGAACATGATCAAGATGATCAACAACTTGAACAATTTCGTGGTTATAAACAAATGAGACATCAACATCAAAAACAACTTAAACAGGTTTCTTTCTTTAAATTATTATTTTTTTTCTTTTTTTTGTATTGTTTTAAATATTAGTTTGAAGAACGATGTCGTAATGAAAAAACTGAATTACGTTCAAAACTTGAACGTGAATATAATATATTTCAAGAACAAGTTAATATTGATAATAATCGTTTATTAGAAAAACATCGTAAAGAATTAGCTGATCGAGTTAAATATAATCAAAATCATATGAAAAACTTAGAACGTCAACTAGATGATGATTTAGAAAATGAAATTAAACGTTTTCATCAAGAACAAACAAAACAATATAAAATAAAAAAAGATGAATTTAAAAAAGTAAAATAATAATTTCTTTTTTTAATATTTGATTTTTTGTTTTTGTTTAAGCAAATATTAAGTTCAACAATGTTAACAAAAAGTGAAAAAGAAGAGGAAATTCGTCGATTAAAAGATGATTTACAATTAAAATTTCGTAATGATGAACAAAAATTACGAACACAATTAACACATAATTATACAATTAGACAATTACAAACAAAACGACAAAAATTTTTATTATTACATACTCTTGAAAGAAATTTATTTGAAGAAGTTTGTTTTAATTATTAAATAAAAAGATAAACAAACAAAAAAAAAAGAATTTTTTTGTTTTTTTAGAAATGTACAAAAAGTATGGATATAATTGTGCAACGACATGGGTTACTTAAAAAACATCATGAACAAACAAAAGAAGTTGAACTTAGACAATTAACTAATTTACATAAGTAATTATTTATTTGATAAATTAATAGAATTAGATCGATCGGATCTTTTTTTTTATTAGATATGACATAGAATATATTAATTTAATCCTTTGGTGATGGACTTTTTTTTTTCTATAAAAGTCTGACATGAAACATATAGATTAAGAGAAACAGCGGATTTCATAAGATTCTGTAGCAATAGTTCCATTGAATAATAATGATTCTGAGATTCACACAAGATCTTATGATTATTCTATGTGGGTTCATGTTGTTCTAAACGATTTTAGGTATTGAAATTTCATAGATTCTCGAATAATTCGAGTTTTCTTTTGATATAATTACATGCATAAATGTATCACGTGTGATATTAGCAAATTAAAGGAAAGAAAGAATACTATTATGACCTTGTAAAGATAGATAATCGTATAAGTTGGAATCTGTGCAAAAGCTCAAAACGTATAGATATGTTTTCCGTTGCCAAATGATTAAAAATATGTTTACTTTGTAGGAAAAGATTAATTAGAGTTCAAATAATATCTGATAGGAAAAGTTCTCAAGTGTAATATTCTGATATATTGTCGGTACTTATAGATACTGCTATAATGCGAACAAATATGCACTGTGTATAACTAAACATGACAAAATGGCACTAGAGAATTTTCACCTTGAAATTTCGCCTATAGATAAATTTCATACTGAATAAATATTCTTGAAAATTTCCGTTAAAAAGAATGTACCCTTCTTAAGATAATAGCTTCTAGAAAAAACGATCATATATTACAAAAAAAAAGGTCTAAAACTAAAGTGTCTTACTACTCAATACATCATGAAAATAGGATTTGTGACAGCCTACGGGTAGGAACCCTTTAATCTCATCGAGTCCAACATATTGGTATATATCGAATTGAAAAAAAAGAGTTTCAGACCTAGTCCAGATGCGAGACTTACTCTCTTTCATACGAAATGTAAGTTCCGATTTTTTTTCTAGATATCTAGAATCCTTATCGTATACGACGTCATCAAGATATTAGATATTTTTTTTTTTTTGTTATTTAATCATTAATCGTATATGTCAATGCCAAGACCTATCTCGATATAAATAACATTGTTGATTCACTAGTCCCTATGACTTACTTTATAAATGCAATCTATACAAAAACAAAACAAAAAACTTTAGCTCCTTGAATTCTATTAAACTGCTGCTCAGAATAGAGAAAGTCAGACTTGAAGATGTAAAAAATTGTTAAACTATTTATCTAAATTAAATTAACATAACATATATTTGATTATCATATTAATTATGATTATCATGCAATGATAATAATTTTTTTCTGTATTACATCTCACGAATATCTAGTTTTCTTCTAATTAATCAATTAAATATTTACTTTTTTTTCTTTTTTTTAGAATGCGAAATGATTTTACTCATAAACAACATCAAACAGAAATAATTAATTTTAATGAATATAGTAATCGTCGTCAAAAAGAATTAATTAAACGACATGCATTAAATCAAAAACAATTTCCGAAAAATATTAAAGTAAAAACAAAAAATTTATAGAAAAAAAAAAAATTTTTCTTTTTTTTTTTGTTTTATTTTTTTAGATCAAACAAGCTGAAATAAAACGTCAATATAAAGAAGCATATAATATTCAATCTCAACAATATAAAGCATTAAAAGAAAAAATACGTCAAGATTATATACATACAACAACAAATCAATCACGTGAAGAACTTGATTCAAAATTAAAAGCTATTAAAGATGAACAACGAAGAAAATTTGATACACTTTATTTACGTTTTGAAGAAGCCGTACAAAAAATGCTTGATCAACAAAATGTAAGAAAAAAATTCTATAAAAAAAAACAAACAAGAATTTCTTTATTAATTATTGTTTTTTTTTATTAAGATAAAACTTAATTCTGATCAAGAACGTGAACGCAATTCATTAAAAACAACACTTGATGAAGATCAACGTAATTTACTTCATTTACAAGAAGAAAGTTATCATCGTATGGAACAACAACATGCTGATGAAAGACGACAATTAGAACGAAATATTGAAGATCGTTTAAGAAAACTTAATGAACAGGTATTTTATTAGTTTTTATATTTTTATGATAATAAATTTTTATTAAACAAATGACGAAAAAAAAAATAATCTTAACCAGTTTCATCAGACTTTTATAAGTACACAATATCAAATGAAACTATTCTCATTTCCTGGATATACTCTAGTAAAAGACTCGTACATTATATTGATAATATCCGATGGTTACTCTAAACTATTATCTATGTGATTAGATCATCTCGAAGTGCATATGAACGTTTACTACTGACTATATAAGATTTGTTAGAATTTTATGCATTCATAATAAGTAATCGAACCATGCCCTTTTAGGTATGCGTTGGAGATATTTAGAGTAAAGTATAGTGATAACATCAGTCAATCATATATAGTTGCTCTTTGTATGATAGACTAGTTCAAATTATAGGTAAAGATTGAACAGTGATGCATAACTTCATACGCATTGAAAATAGAGAATGATAAGATCATGAAAAAAGAAAAAAACTATACTTCAAATTAACTTCTTTTTTGTATGTTCTACTTGTAATTAAGTTTTTACATATCCATGATAAACTAATAACAAGTTCATGTGAACAATAAATAGTAGTCCTCAATATGATCATGTTAGGATTAATAAGATAATATTCTTATATATTTTTCTGCTTATCAGGAACATCGAAGGTGTGCTGTAGAAAAATCAAAAATTTCAACTAACAAAATATTCTTAATTTTTGACATAAATAGTATAGGTTATCGTCTTCTCTTCATCTACACCTATCCTGAAGACATTACTTTTTTTCTTTCAATATTTTTTCTTTCGACCTTTCTACGACTAATCGTATAGAACATATTTGTCAATTTTTCAAACACAAGGTCAAAAAGATTCATTCAATTAAATCAAAATACTTAGCAACATTCAAGGACAATATCGAACGTTAATGTTCGCAATTTGTTTTTTTTCTGAAGGTTTTTGAAAAGAAATGAAATAGAACAAAATATAAGATTATAGTTTATAAATTATTTACAAATAAATTTTGTATTTAGATGCAACATGAATTAGCTGAATATAATGAAGATCGTATTCAACAACTTTCAATACTTCTAGAAAAACAACGATGTGAATTATTACAATTAGATAATGAAATAACAAAATTAGGTATTAATATTACTGATTTAACTGATACAATGCAAGATATACATTTTTTTACTGCTAATACAGCTGTTCAATTATTTCCACATGATAAACAAATGTTAACAAGAAATTCTCAACATAATAATCGTGCTTCAGTGATCAGTTTACAACATTCAAATAGTTCAAATACAACGAATGGTAATGGAACAACTACACATAAGTAATATACATATATATATATGAATTTTAATATTTTTTATTTTGTGAATACAGTGATTCTTATTTTCATTGTTGTTGTTGTTTTTTGTTCACTCGAGTTTAAATTCAGGTCAATGTTTTCTTTTTATCTTCCGTTTTTTTTTTTATGTATAAAGTAATATCTTTCGTTTTCTTCTTATTTGTTGCAATCAGATTGTGTTTGTCCATTTTTCTTTTTAAATCTATTGACTTATATCTTGCGATTTTTATTCTATACAAACATTTTTTTTTCTCGGTTGCTTTGCTTTATATATATGTATACACTATTTTTCTAAAACGTCTTCTCTAATATTGAATCAAAAACAAAAAAAAAAATAATAATAATAATACTACGAGATAAAAAAAAAGAGAAGAAAATTAATGAGATGTTTTCGATTCTGGTGTTTTTTTTTTGTTTTTTAATATATATAAATATTATAATTCATGATTTAATTTTAGATTCTTTTCGTTCTTTTTTTCTTACATTTCGCAATAGACATATTATGAATAATAACAGTGCGAATCATGGAGCAGTTGTAGTCGAGCAATCGACAACGCCTACTGCACCAATTCATGAAGTAACAGAAGTACCTGCAACAACACAAGTCACTCCGTTGGGTAAGATATAAGTTAATTAAATATATTTTCATATGCTGTAATACGTATTATCGATTCTTGATATACTGTAATTATATGTTTGTTTATTATAGAAGTAGACTTCAACATTTTTCAGATCCGAACTGTGTAACGGATTGATTCTGATCGGAAAGTCTCCAAATTTTTCTCTGTGACCTTCGATCAACATTCTATTATTCCCGACAGGAAACGATCAGAAATCATTGAGAAAATTTTGGAGATTCTTCGATCCGAAATACTGCTTATATGTTTCAGTGAGTTCGAAGGTCGAAATCATTGTTCTGAGTAATTAGAAACTACCAAGTCTTCTTATAATGGATACTTTTGAAAAGTCTGAAGGATGTTCGCTATAGAGAGAATAATGTTTTTATTCAAGTACATTTACTTTGTCAAAAGAAGTCAATTATATCGATATATACATATATATAAGAGTTCTCTCTCGTTTGTTCCGTTGCTATTGGTTCTTGATGACAATGAGAATGCATATTGAAACCTTGTAATAAAATTATTTATGTATTTTATAACAATTGTTTACTCATTGACTGTTACTATTAGAATATAATCCATTAGATCGAGTTCGAGACTAAACCAATGAACTCTTACATAATAAGACACATATTTGAAAAATTATAAGAAATATTTGAATTCTTTACAAGAAAAATGTAAATTATCCATATTTAGATGTTCGTAGTAAAAAAAAATATCTTAAGAATGAATGATTTCTATTGAATTTATTTTAAAATAGATGGACCACCACCAGCATACGAAGTGACTCCGACATCAAACAATAATCAAAATGATACTGAACAAGATAATAGTGGTGCAGCAGCAGCAGCAGCAGCAGCAGCAGCAGGAATTATTGAACCGCCACCACCATATTGTCTTGTTGATCCAAGTAAAATTCGTAATATGGATCATTTACCACATTATCCACATCCATCACCTGTAGAAATCATTGAGCTTAATGCGAACAGTAATAATAGCACTGAACAAGTAAAAAAAAGATTTTTTTTTTTTTTTTTTTTTTTTTTTTTATTCAAAATTTTTTATTGTTTTGTAATCTATTTCTAGTCATCTCGTCAACATAATCAAGCAGCTATAGCTGCTTGGCTCTCATCTGGTTCAAATATGGATATTGGTACTGATTGTACGTTTTTAATGGCTTTGTAAGTTAATTCATTTCTTTTTGTTTTTTGGTTATGTTTTTTTTTTAATATTTATTTAAAAAAGTGTTATTGCCTTCTTTTTCAATTGGCTTGGTTTTCTTGCTGTGGTTTGTCTTATACCAACAATAGCCGCACGTTTTGGTGCCATGTCTGGTTTTGGTTTAAGTGTGGCTAAATGGATAACCGTTATGCGTTATCATGAATTTAATAATTCATCATATATTGGATCTGGTAATATGTCAACAACATTTCATCGAACAACAGTTCATGATCCAGCACAAAATTTTGTTTTTGCTATTGTTTTATTTGCCGGATTTTTTCTTTTTGTTCGTGGTTTAATATCATATATAGCAGTTAAAAATCGTGCGAATCAACATGGACAAACTGCAGATGTTTTTACTTGGTACTAAATTTATTTTACAAAAAAAAAAAAAAACATTTCATATTTATGATTATTTTTCTTGCTTTATGATCTGCTATTCATATTGTTCTAAACAAACAAATAAACAAAAAAAAAATAAAACAAGTTCTTTTTAAATTAGAAAAAAAATACTCGAATAAAATAATATACATATATATATATATATTTTTTCTTTTTCTGTGTTGATTCTAATTTATGTATGTCGTCTGTCTGTTCGTGTTATTGTCGATCTTTCTTTTTTTTTGTCCTCCAAATAAACGTTATGGAAATAAATGAAGTGTGTCCATGTCTTAGATTCATGTTACCATAGAAGAATAACATGTCACTCTGAGCTTTTTTATCAAAGGATTATTGAGATTTGTTGAAAGTGATGATCAAATTTAAGAAAAATATACTGTAAAAATTATAATATTCAGCATATATTTATGCATTTTAGTAATAAATATTATTGTAACTAAAATATATTCTAAAGAAAAAAACAAATTTTTAATTTATTATTTCATCTATATATATCCTTCTAATATTAATACAATGATATATTTTTTCCATGTATATTGAATAATTCCTGATGTAAATTATTTTGAAAATAAATCAAACAAAAAAGTATGAATTATTGAAATTTGAAATTCATCAATAAAAATATTTGATTATTTTTGTTGTCTATCCTTTTTAATTATACAGATAAACTTAATTATCCAACATGTTTAAATCGCTTCATGATGACAAAAAAAAAACATATTATGTACAATCAATGAACAAAAACACATACTACAAAGTAGGTAAGAGAAAAAAAAAAGACTATAACAAAAAGAGAACAACAAACAACAATAATCATCTCTGTCATTCTTATGTACATACAAAAGAGAAAAGAAATGAAAGAAAGAACAAGAAAAAAAAAACAAGACAATGTTCTTAAATACCTGATAAGACAACAATCAGTATTGTTCATTATGAGATAGGTAAAAATTGAGAAGATATTGCTGGAGACAAGGAACTTTGACTGATGCGTAAATTAAAAAGCACTATGAATACACTGGTTAACCGATCTATACTGTCCAGGTTTTGATATTCTACGGTCAATTAGCGGGGGTATACATCAAAAAAAGTTCATATATTTCAACCATCTATTGACATTGATGATCGTCGAAGGTGTTCACATGCATGACGATGTGACTCTGAAGATGAACATCCAATCATCATTTCACGATTTAATAATGTATCAGCTGTTGCTTGATCACCAGTAGCAACTAAAATATAATTTTAAAAAAATTCAAAATTTAAATACATAAAACAAATTTTAAAACTTACTAGCTGTATGAACTGCTGATTGTCCAAGCCAACCATTTTGATGTATATCCGAACCGGCTTTAAGTAGATAATCAATAATTTCTGCATGTGTACCACGAACAGCTGTAAAAAAAATATCAAAAATCAAAATAATGTTTTTTTTTTTGTTTCTCTTAAAAATCTTACCAAGTATAAGTGGAATATCTCCATCATCATTTTTACAATTAACACTTGCTCCATATTTAACAAGTGTTTGAACAACTTCTAAATGACCATTTTGAGCAGCAGCATGTAAAGCTGTATAACCAAATTGACCAGGTTTTTGTATATCGGCTCCAGCATCAATTAATACTTTAACAATATCAGCTCGACCAAGCATTGCAGCATTAATTAATGGTGTATAACCATATGCATCAGGTGCATTAATATCTGCGCCTAATAATAAAAAAATATTTACATAATACTTTTTTTTTTTTTTTTGTTTCAAAAATATTACCTTCACGAAGCCAACATTTAATACCTTCTAATGAACCACATTCGGCTTCTTCAGGTAGAGAACGTTTTGTTTTTTGAGGACTATTGAATAAATTTAATAGAAGATCAGTTGTTACTTTGATCCATGATACTGGATAGTAAATATCGCTTGAATCAATTGATGGCATTTTGTGAAATAGTAAATTTTGTAATCTAAATTGACAATAAGAAATTGTACCAAAGATTTTTTTGCACTCGCTAGCAACCTTCAAATGGAGACCTGTATTTATTGTACAGTAAATCTATTTTTTTCTCTCACTTTCCTTTGGTTTTTTCTCTCTCTCTTTCTCTTTTTTGGTTTTTTCTCTTGTAGCTTGGCTTCGTAATTCATTGACAGAGAAAACATTATTCGAGCAAAAAAAATAGAAATATTTACTATCACGCGCATTACCACGACGTAATTTGTTCTTTTTCTCGTTCTGTCTACTATCGTCACGCGCGTAGGAAAGACGATTGGTAATGAGACTCAACAAAATCATGTGACCGATATTACCAACAGACGAAAGACATGCGTCGACTGCATGGTATATATGATAAGACGATGTGTACTTAAGTTCGTTTCGTTATCAATAAAAAAAAAAACTCGGAGAACTTTAGATGGAATAATCAGCGACAAACTCAATTTGCTATTGGTTAGGTTGAAGGTAGAACTACGATCGATGAAACAAATAAATACAATTTATGATCGGTTCAAAAGTTCAGTTTTATTTTATTTTTTTACATATATATTTATATATATATATATATATATTTTTTAATGTTTATTAAGTTGAGTGTAATTTAACACACCTTTTTTTTCCTCGAAGTATTCCTCTTATAATTACAGCTGTTAAAAATCCCTTTACCTTATCTTGGCTTATGAGAATATATGACGAATTTTCAAAAACTCGCTTGTTTAAGTGCGGTTAGATTTGGAATAACCAACGTCAAATAAAATTCGCAAAATAACTTTACACTGAATATTTATAGCTTGGATAAGAAGGGGGAGAGGAGAGAAAATGTCGGCTGATGCTATCACGCTGCCACTGCGTGTTTCTTTGTTATATGTTTCTTTCTTCTGCGTTGTCCTTGCTCATAAATGTAAGCAGAATCATTAGTTACATGCGTGATGCGCATTTTTCCGAAGAGCAAAGTACGCGTAAAGCGAGTTCAATATTATGCGTCGTTTCTTTTTTTTATCTATTACGAAGATACAAAAATAGTAATTCAGTATATAAAGATAATAAAACCAGTCTTTCGAATCGAACATAAGACATCAAGTACAAAATGAGACGGTGTATGAGAAACTTTTACATATGTGAATAATCATTTTGTTTCATTATCTTCAGTTGCACTCAGAAAAAAAAATAATAATAATTTATTATTTATAATTCAAATCAATGATAAGTTAAAACAAAAATATTTTTCCAATGATCAAAACTAGTTATGATATATTTTAATTAGGAAATAATTTGAATAATTGTTTTTTAGTTATTATTGAATCTATTGATACTAGATCGAACAGCATTGTTCTTTGCTTTTGTTTATGACCGATGTGCGCGTGATCAAAAAGTACCTAAATCAATAAACAGAACGCAAAAAAAAAGTGATCTTTAGAAGTATCACGCGCTCAAATAATTTAATGACGCAAATACACTCTTATAAGAAGAAAACATTCAAACGCATGGCATTCAAAAGAACGATGAGTGTCAAAAAGAAAGAAAGAATTTCTTTGTTTAGAATTACATGTTTGATATAGTTCAAAAGTAACATAGCTTCTGTAAAGAAAAGTTAACTTCTGGAAAAACTAACATGAAACGATGGATGTTTTCTTGTTTTGGTTTTTTTATTTGACCTTAGTGTTTTTTTTTAATTAAAAATTTAATATGCAAATATCAAGGGTCAATTTGTTCTTTATTTTAATCATTAATTTTGATATTAATAAAAAGAAAAAGTCAAATGAATATTACAAGGACACAATACAATAAGCGACATGTGTATCATCTTACTACGATAAGATTGACTCAGCGTGCGTTAAGTACTGTTTGAGGTCAACTTTTATCCTTTATTACGCATTTATTATTGTTATGAAGAAAAACATCATGAAAAGTGCAATATAGGTTTTTGTCGTACTTGTTCTACGTTCGCATGAAAAAAGTCTTGATAATTTACGACGTAGTTTGCATATTTTCATGCATGCATGTGATTTGAATAATATTCATCAAAAAAAAGAACGGAGAATTTCTGGTTTTTTATAAAAACATATTCATTTATCATTGTATTTTAAACTTAAAGCACTTTCTTTTTAATATTTTTTATCATAATAAAAATTTTTTCTGAAGAATCAAATGATGTATAAAGTTTTATTTATGTCATAGAAAGATAAATGATTCATTATTTTTAAATAATAATATGTATATCCTTGCTGTGCCATATGTTGAGATTATACATGAGATCAAGGCTGTCAACCATCATATGTTGATTAGTCAAACACTGACAAGAATAAATCATAAAGTAATTTCGAAATTACATAAAATAGACTGAAAATTGTCTAACAAAAGACAAAAAAAAATAAATAAATATTGAATATTCTACAGTATGAACTTGAAAATATTGATATTTCAATGAACAAGACCTCATCAATCATTAAATGAAAACTCATTTAGAAAACATGTTGCTATATCTTTTCAAGTCTATTAGCTATCAAAATATACAAATGATATTTCATTCAAACATAAAATGTGTCGTATTTTGTGATACAATGTACAACACATCAATTTGCAACATAAGGTGATACATGTTATATATTTTGAATACATAATATTTCAATCTAGTCTTCATCATGCCTGTCATGTCTTTTGGCAAAAGAGAATAATAAATATACTTTTTTTTTCGTATAATTCAAATAGTTAATATCTTTTTCATTGTTTGGAATGCATGGCAATAAGATCTGACGAATTTCAATGTTTCGAATTGCTTTGAACTTAATCAAAACGTTTTGAAGTAATTTGATCTTTTAACAAAATTCTCGAATAAAGAATGATTGAAAAATAATCTAGAAAATAAAATATACGAAAATGGATAAATTCAGTATAAACAATTGGGTTGACTATATATAGCTACGAACATATAAGGCAATATGATAGATGAATACTTAGCAAATAGATGATGACATGTCTGCTGACACAGCATATTTTCAAGATGACAGAGTCTACGAAAGTATTATTAAGGACATAAGTTTGTTTTTTGTACTGTATGATACATGGACGAGTAAGAATAATTATTTTTTCAGAGTCCTTGAGTATTTATTACATTTTATATATGAGTAATACATTTCTGAAGCTCCAAAAAAAAATCAATTGTTAGTTATTGATGACAAAATTATCTCAATCTAATTGAGAACAATCAAATGATTCTTATTATGTATTTGTTTGAAATCGATTCATTCAACTGATGCATGTATATTTATCCTCGATTAGCAATACCTTTTTTTCAATGAAGATCCTTGATTAAACAACAGCTTTTAGCAAATTTGTATAATTAGAAGGATTAATTCATATTATGTATTTTCAGTGATTCAAATAATCCGAATTGTATTATTTATTGGATTTAACAATCAACAACAACAAAAGTGATTACAGTTCAATTGAGAAATGGAATCGTCTGTCATTGAACAGATGACGCTAGAATCCATTATTATTTGTCTTAAACAGTAAATTATAATAGTTCTAAGAAATTTTCCATAATCTTCCTTTTCTATTCTTTCAATAGATAAAAATCTTTGATATTGCTATGAAAAAATTTAAACCAATAAATTGAAGATCAGAATGAGTCATATATTCTGTTCTGATAAGAATTCTATCTAACCAACTTAGAACAGAACTCTTTGATTTCAATCAAAATGACTTCTATTTCAACAAAATGGACACCAAAAAAACGTGATTATGTATCTGAACATAAACAATTAAACAAAACTACAAATGCTACAACAACTCATCCTCTTGGTGTTATTGTTGTATGTATTAAAAAACGAAATATTTACAAAGATCTTTTGTTTTTTGTTTTATTAAAATTTTTAGACAAATAAACCACAAACAACAATATCATCATCATCATCATCATCATCTCCAATAGTTGATCCTCTTTCATTAAAAACAACTCAAGCTGAAATTGATCCATTATCACGTGCATTAGCAGCTGCAATAACATCAAAAAAAGATTCAACTGATGAATATTCACCAACAATAACAGATACATTTGAACCATGGTCAAGTAAAAAAGGTGTTATTTTAAGTCAATATATAACAACAAAAAAAATTAGTATGACAACAGCTATGAATAATACTAATGATGAATCGATTATTGATAACACTAAAAGTATTTCAAAAAAAGAAAAAATAAATATTTTATTCGATTAATTTGTTTGTTTTTCTCTAGTGGCAGATATGACAACAACAGCGGAAAGAGTTAAAAATCGTCTTGAACAATTAGATGCATTTGAAGTAAAATTATTGTTTGTTCTTTTTTTGTGAATTTTAACAAATATTTTCTTTAAGGGTGGACAACAAACACAAAGTTTAACGCAACAAGAATATATAAATCGTATTAATGAAATGAGTAAAGATATGAGTCAAGCATGGAAAAATGATCAACGTGTTAAAACATTAAAAATTGCTATACAGGTAAATCTATGACGTGAAAATCTTGACACAAAATATTCACTTACTAACAGACACAACTGATTTGAGTCAGAATATTTTTTTTGATATATTCAGATTTCCCTTCTGGTAGATAATTGTTTCTATACAAAGCAAAATAACAGTCTTGACGCAGTTCTTAGTTTGTATCTTAGAACAATTTCAACTCAGCATTAATTGTAGAGCATTGAATTCTTGTACAAAATGAGATTAAGCAAAATCTCTATCCACTAAAGAGCTAGTTTCTATGGAAATCGATAGTTACTTTTAAAAATACAAAATTTTTAAAATTTGTTTCACATTTTGAATTTCATAGATTTCAATTAAAATACAAAATTGCAGTCTGCATAACCACTATGTTTGGATCTTTTGAAATAATTTGACGATAATTGTCCGATCCAGAGTTGTCGATTGGGGAAAGGGACTTTTCGGTAGAAAGTGAAATAAAAATAAGCAGACAATGTTGTTGTAAGGTAAATAGAATTGAGAAGGGACAGCTTGATAGCAGGTCGTCTCTTGTGGAAGAAGTTGGATCACTATGGATTTCGTTCTCCGCTCCTCCGCTGATCACCATTTCTAGCATTTCGAGAGTAAAAGCATTTTCTGAGAGAATTTTTGGATTTTCAGCTTCTTCCATTTCTAGAAAATATCGACAATCCAGGTCGAATCTTACCCCTAGAAGGAAATTCTGAATACATATTCGGAAAGATCTAATTCTAACTAATTTCTTCTGATTCTAATCAACTGTCTTTAATTTGTCGAAATATCAATAAATATTTTGTGCCAAGATCTTTTCATCATCGATTAAAAGAAATGTTAAATTTTAAAATTTAAAATTTTGTTATTGTTCTATTAGTGTGGTAAATTATTAGCTGATATGAATGTTATGGAATTTTATCCAAGTAAATTTTGTTTAATTACAGATGTATTAGATACTTTTGGTAAGATTATTTCGAATTGAGTGTTTGAAATATTATTATTATTTAATATTTATTTAGGAAAATTAGTTTATAATCGTTTATTAGAAAAAAGTGCATCATCAACTGGAAAAATTCGTAAATAGATAATTATAAAATTTCTTTATTAAAATTATAATTCTTTTCTAATTTTTAGCTGAACGTGTTGTACCTGACCTTATTCCAGACGCTACACGTGAAACAGCTCGTAATTGGTTTTATAAAATAGCTATTATTCGTGAATTATTACCACGTATACTTATTGAAGTAGCTATTCTTAAATGTTATAATTTTTTATCTACAACGTAATAAAGATTAAAAAAATAGTTTTCTCTATCAAAAAAAAAAATATATTTTTTATTTTTATATATCTTTTAGTCATTATCGAACAGCTCTTGTACAATTAGTTAAAATGTGTCGTGGAATTGGAGATCCATTAGTAGCTGCATATACTCGTTGTTATATTTGTCGAGTAAATTAAATTAGAAAATTAATTTTTTTTTTAAAATCATTAAACAATAAAATTTTTTTTTTGTTATTTTTTAAAGGTTACAATTGATATTGATTTTAAATATCGTGAACCTATTGAAATAGCTTTTACAGATTTATGTCATTCATTTCATCAAATAAATACAGCAACTGTTAAAACTGTGTATCAATTACAAAAATTAACAACTAGTATTTATTTATCACTTTATTCGCCAGCATTAGATTGGATTGTTCAATGTTTATTACATAAATTAGATGAAAATAAAATGGAAAAAATTGTTAATAAAACACGAACAGAACTTAATATGTTAAGGTTTGCAAGAAAAACTTAACATACGAGGATCTCATGATTAGGAGGGCGGAGTGTATAAGAAAATATCTCATAAAGGTAGTAAAAAATTCAAAAAAAGCTTGATAGTTTTACTGGATAATAATGAATAATTTTCAATTATCGGAGGAAGGGTACACATACCTTTGCTTTCGCAGCGTCTGAGTATATCTCAACTTGTTTTGTAGCCTAAATAGAAATGTTTTGAATAGCTCGATTTAGTATGTTATTATCTAGAAATTTATTTTCTGTTTATTAGTGGTGGTGTTGTATTAAATGCACTTTTAAATACACTTCCACCAAATCATGTTCGTTCAAAAGTTCAACGATATATTGAAATGATTAATGAATGTGATGAACAATATTTTCCAAAAGTAAATAAACTATTATAGAGTCTAATATGTTTTAGAAATTATCTCTTTTTTATTTTATTTTCGATTCTAGAGTATACTTTATCGTTCTCTTGGTCTTTCTCTTCTATTATCATCACCATCATCGACACCATCTGATCTTCAATTATTAAATAGTGTTTGGAGAGTAGTTACAAAATTTAAAGATCCATCGGTAAAATACTTTCTTTAAAATTTGATGTTTTTATTGAAATATATAAGAAGAAGAAGGACTACCCGATTTCATTCAAACTATTTGATCTATTTAGATTTATCTATTGATATTAGATAATATATCTGAACTATCAAAAACTAATCGTACTTCTCAAGAATCCGTCCTAGCTGTCGTTCTCATCTTTACATCTCAGTCTGGTATCTATCTTCAGTCTAGTTCTTTCTATTTAAAGCATATGATGAGATTTATAGAAAAATTTGGAAGAAATAAATCCTGGAAGCTACCATCATTCGAATGAGTCTAACTAGCACGATGTTTTCATGTACAGTAATATCACTCTATGTCAGCACGTCCTCATTATGAACAGTTGGTACTTATTTGTGGTCCCATCAGCGGTAATAACCACTGTAATGTGAACGACATCTGTTCTATCATTGAGAGGTAGAACGAGAAAAAAAAATGATATTATATTTATTGCGCTATAATAAATAATCACGAGACACATGAAAAAGGAATGAACTAATTGTGCATATTTAAAACACAAAATAAGCAGCAATATATTATACAATATCAACAGTGCTCGGTATAACATCGTGTCGATTTATCTCTGATCAAAAAAAAAATTATTGAAAAGAAGAAAAAAAACATTATCTTGTACAGCCAAAAAATGATTGCAACTAAAACCTCCCAATAATGAACATTTTCGTAGATTGAGTACTTCTAGCCAATCCTGATGGTACCCGCATTAGAGAAGTTTTATCTTGATCGATAAAACATATTTTAAATTGAGTAAAATTAATATCAAAAGACTATTGTGATTTCTATTGAATCAGAAGAATTAATGTATTTATTATAGGCCTATATGGCATGTGCTGAAGTTTGGGTCGAATTAACATCAAAAGAATATACGGTGAGATGATTAAAAAAGTAAAATTTTTTTTGTTTGACAATTTCTTAGTTTTGTAGACACGAGAACTGAATACAATGTTGAGTGATATTATTAAACATTTAACACCAGATCGTGTTTTTGAAGAATATTATGGAAAATTACATGCAATTATGATTAAACTTCTAGCAAATATACAAGATTTTGCATCATTATTTGCTATGGTATTTAAAAGAGAGAGAGAGAGAGAAAGAAAAATAAGTCAAATAATCTGATTGATTTTTTTTTTATCATAGGATAAAATATTACCATTTCTTGATTTATTTCAACGTGAACATGTTCGAGTAGATTTATTTAAATCAATTTTACATGTATTTATTAATAAGTTAGTATCTGAAAAATACAAAACAAAAAAACTTTAGATTTTTCATTGTTCTTTTTTTTTATTTATTGAAATTTATTATTCTAGAAATCCACAAGAAAAAACTAATGATCCAGTATTAATAACTGCTATGATACATTGTGCTAAAAGTGTTCATGATACACTTGGGTTTGTTTATATTTTTAAATACAAAAAAAAACAAATCATAATGAAAACCACTTTTGTTTTTCATTGAAGAGCTTTGACAAATGATGATGAATTACGTGAAGTTAGTGGACTTTTATCTTCATTAATACGTAAAGTTGATTATGGAAAAGATGTTGAACAAGAACTTAAATTTTGTGTAGAAGCTCGTGGTTTATTTGGTTATTTAGATTCAGTTACTATTACACTTATACAGGTAAACATAGAAAGAATATCTATTAAAATCTAATAAGATATTTAAGTTCTTGAGTAGTCACAATAATATCGACAAAATAACTTTTATAAATTTGATATTACAGAAATGTGATTAGATAATTGATAGAGACTCTATCAATATCTAATGATATGATTAAAGAGCTAGTCGACAAAAATCGAATTGAAATATGCTTGTGCCTCTACTTCCTGGTACTAATCCAGTAGAATTAATGTTGAGTTAACTATGGGAATAGTATATACAAGTGCTAATTATGAGCGAAGACATTTCACTGAGAAAATATAGAATAGGTAATAAATGAGCCATTCGTCTTGAATGACATAAAAATTGAATTTATTATTAATTTGATTTGAAACCTACTTATCGTAAATTATTTTTTGAAAAAGGAGCTATTCTAGAGATTGATATATGGTTAGATACTTGAAAAGGCAGTTATTTTCAGATTGAAATCAGATCTTTCATTTCTAGAATCGTGTCGAGATCGTTAATTTTCATTTTCTTTGTATAATATGCAATCATTGGTTTTGATTTCGATTCGAAATCACTCATTTGTATTGTCAAGACCTTGCCCAGATGATGGAAAACCATAACAAAAGCTGTAGATTTCTATCGTTTATCGATAAGAACTTATTTAAAAATAGCCGTGGAATGCTTTTTAGCTGCCTATTAATCCTAATAAAATTTTTGTCATGAAGATCATATCATTAAAATTATATCGAAAGTAAAATAATTCTAGAAAAAAAACATTTTACATGTTACAGTCGTCATGAAAAATGCTGCTTTCACATCTGTAATCGAGAATTGTTTAAAAACCTACACTGCAAATAGATTATACCCATAGTAATATATATCAATCACACAAACATCAGAATAAGCAGTCTGTGTAACTAAATAAAAATAAGTTTTTGATTTTTTGAAAAAAATATTGTTTCAAATCTTAGTCAATGAATGATGAAAAGAAGTTTAATATTTTTCGAACTTTTAACTTTTTAAAGACTCTACACAATATCCGAAAACTATCTCAATCCTATGCTTTATTACTCCATATAGATAGTTTCTATGAATAAATCAGTATCATTTCTTTCATTAAATTTATTAGTTATAACTAAAAACCCCAAACTCAAATAATTGGACCTTCAAAATAATATATTAAGAATACTAAAATATCATATCTTGGTTTTTTTTTATTTCTATTAAAAAAAGTGTATTAAATTATTTATTTATTCTATAGAAAGTCAATACATTAGCTGTATCAACACATCGTATTGTTAATGGTGTACAATCAACTGCAACATCATCTTTTATACGTGCTTGTATGGCTTTTTGTTATATAACAATTCCATCATTAGAACATCCTTTAAATAAACTTCAATTATATACATTATGTGCACAAACAGCATATTTAAATCAAAGTCTTTCACAAGGTTTGAAAATATCAATTAAACAAAAAAAAACCCATAAATTTGTTCTTATCATTTTAAAATATCAATTTAGGTGATGGTTTTTTTAAAATGGCTATAACACTTCTATCGGATTTTCCAAAACAGATTGAAATTGATGGAAAATTAGTATCAAGTGATAAATATTTATATGAATCAATTACAAATATAATGTCAACACTTGTTGTTGTACCTGTATGTAATCATAGATTTAAAACCAAAAAAGAAAATGACATAAAAAAAATTTTTGAACATTTTTCCTTTTTAAGGATAATCCAGATGCAGGTGTTTTATATCTTGCTCATGGTTTAAATAATGTTATTAATCAAATGAAATGTTTTGATGATACAAGTGAAACACGTGCCATGCTTGCTATGAATATGTTATGTCTTTTGTCAACACAAATTCAAACATTTTTACCATATCATGTTCTAAAAGGTAAAATTATGATTTTGAGATATAACAGATAGGTCATAATGAATCGGACTTCATATAAATACAATTTTTCTCTCATTTAAACTCATTCATATACTAAAAGATAGACAATTTCAAGCTTTATAAAACTAAGATCTTCACTTTTAAATAGAACATTTTGCCTTTGCAAAAAAATCCAAACATTTATATATCCTGTATATTCCCATTTAGAGATGTGTGGAAGGGACCAGACTTTTTTGATCATGATCATAGTTTCGGTCCCGACAATTTCTTTCCTAGTAAAGCATATCAGGATTTCTTCCTATCATGAATTCTATTTTAATTCATATGCTTTATAATTTGCTTAAAATCACAGAATATTTTCTGATAAACTTGAGTTCTCGTTCCAACAAAGTTTGTTCTCGTAGCCTCCGTCTCGATCTTAGCAACTTCTCTTGCTGATGATTCTGCAAATTTCAATTCCCACTGCGACGTATCGTTGTTTGTACTTTGCAAAAAGTATGAAGAATCTCGAAAGCAAAAAATTTTGTCCTCTTTTCGATTGATCTACTTTCAGATATCCAAGGTTTACTGGAGAATTGAAAATGTACTTCATGGTGATTTTGGGAGGAATTTTTAAATAATTGAGCTTTTTTTTTTTGAATTCAACTTTAGTTGCCAGGTCTTTATTTGGACACTAAAAAAGATGGAGAATTTTGTTCTCTACAAGACTATGTGAATAGTGAATTGTATTGCGACATGTTACTGAGTAAACTCCCAATGGTTATAATATTTTGTTTCTTTTTTTTTCATTTATTGTGACCTGAATTTTTAAATGAAGCTATCGTTTAAAGTTTTGAAAAAATGGACGATTTTATCTGTTGTTTCATGATATTTTGAAAGTTTTTTTTTTTTTCTATTGTCTAATTAGTCGAATCAAATGATGCTTTATATGGTAATGATGAAAGTTTTCTTAATGAAATACATCAAAGATTAAGTCGTATTTGTGAACAAATTATACAAATGCTTAAAGATTTAGCAAATACAGTAAGAACCGTGAATATAAGTAGGAAAATAAAATGTATCTAAGATTTTCTTTTTTAATATTTAGAATCCAAAACGACAATCAACATTAGCACTTGAATTTTTCAATCGTTTAATTGCACATGGAGATTTAAATCAACCGAAATGTATTAAATTTGCTGTTAATCTTTGGAATTTAGCACAAAAAAGTCTAAATCCAGATGCACAAAAACTTGCTGTAAATGATATTCTTAATTAAATTAATCATAATTCTTTGTGTTTTTTTTTCCTATATTTAGAAACGTATTTTAAATCATATTGAAGCTCGTTCTGTTCATGATAAATCATTTAAACGTTTGTCTGAACTTATTTTAGGCAATATAAATGATACAAGTCAATCATCATCACTATCAAATTTCACTTAATACTACTGATTGATATTAACAAATATTTGCAATAGTGATTCTTTTTTTTTTTGATAGTTGTAATTGTCCGATTTTTTTTCTGTTGAAACACATGTGATTGATTAATTTATTTTCTTATAATATAAAGACGGTTTTTTTTTAGATCAATTTGTTTTATCATTGTTTTTTTTTTACGTTTTACTCAAATTTCGAATAACTTACATTTCTAGTTATGAATAGGAGATATTTATTATTTGGATTTTCATTAATGTTTTGATATTATAAGAGTATGTTTGAAAAAAAAAGACGAAAACAACTTTCACCTTGTGGTTATCAACGACGCATATATGTTTCACGAGTTTTATTAATAAACTAACGCAATAGATCATAATGTCTGTTTTATTTTTATATACATTCTCGCAAAAAGCAAAAGTCAGACAGTAGAAACTGTTATATCGTCATTTTGTTATAGTTTGTATTAGAGTGGTACCATAAATAGTTATAACGTCTTTTGTGATAAATGGTTTTTTTTTTCTTTCGTATATGTTGGTAACTAAATGGTTGATTAATGGGCGATTTAGTTGCGAACAGTATATAGAGATGTTAACCAGTACATGGATCGACAACTGAATATTCTTGAAATTTTGAAATAAAAAAAAAGAAAAAATAATGATAGAGAACATATAGGAAAAGGAAATTAGACAAAAGTAAAATTGAAAACACATTCTAAATAGAAAAAAAATCTAGTGTTGTGACAGTGGCGACTGAAATTTTCAATAAATGTATACTGCGGTAGAGACTCAACCGATCGGCTTGTATCGTTAAGTGTACATTTTAATAAAATTATTGATGATCATATCACAGATTAGAAATGATTTTTAAAGCATACGTCACATGATATACGCAAATGGATATTTGTTCTCATCCCAAAAAAAGAAAAGATATTCTTCCGCAAACGATTTGAATAAGGAGTATTTGTTTAATTTTAATCAAAAAGAAAGTTACTAAGTATCATCGAAGAATATCGATTTATCTCTATTTAGCAAATAGATTAACGGATAATGCATATCTTTTTTCGAAGATGAGTGTCTATAACATATCTAATCTTCATAGAATTATTATTACTTAATTATAATTTCTATTATTTATGTTTAATTCTCATTAAAAATACCAATATTTTCTCAATCTATTGTCTACAACGTAGGTAATTTATCAGAATTTCAATTACTTTGTATTTCTTATTTAATGAGACGTATTTTGCAGTTATCCTATATACGAAATATTTTGAGTATTCGATCACTTCAATTTTATTCTAAACTAAATTATGTTCAAAGGATTCCTTGAAAGAATGAGCGATCTTATTATTCTTTTTTTCTTATATCTCTCTGTTTATTTCTCCTGTTGATTTAAAAATATCGACTGGTCTAGAATAAATGTCACTCTCAATTCTTTGCCAATATGTTCTTCAGGTTTTTCTTAAAAGATTCGTCGTAGAATTATGCACAAAACGGTATGTTTCATTTCAACGAACCTAATAAAACTAAACAATTACATCACACGTAATTTTTAAAACTTTTGTTTTTTGCCACCCTCGGAAAAAATTTTCGAATAAAACTTCGGTGAACAGCGGTGTCAATAAACCGCAAAAGTCAGACCATTTATTCGGCTTTTAGAAACCGGTCAAAACCGCGGTGCAGATATACCGCGGTATGATCGGACATAACCGCGGTTTTAAGTGAGAGAAAATTAGCTCACACCGCGGTTTTGACCGGTTTCTAAAAACCGAATAAATGGTCTGACTTTCGCGGTTTATTGAAAGCGCGGTTCCATTCAAAATTTTTTTCCGTGGGCAGACCATTTTGATGGATACATCAACGTGGTCGTCGTTGTGGCACATTTTCAGCACACTGTGTGTATCTATTCGGCCTAGATAAAGTAATTTCAACCGTAATAGTTGACACAAGGTGTTGGAAACGAGCCACAATGATGAACACATTGATATGTCCATCACAATGATCTGAAAAAAAAAATGACAAAAAAATACGAAAGTTTTGAAAATTTACACGTGATGTACTTGTTTAATTTTATTAGGTTCAAAAAACAGAAGAAAATGAATTTATTGAGTAAAACATATTGTTTTGTGCATAATTTCACGACAAATCTTTTGAGAACAAGCTGAAGTCTGTACGACGAGAACTAACGAAGATGATATTGGTGAAATATTAAGGATGACATTTATTTTGGACCATCTGATAACATCATTTTTTTTTTATTGTAAAGAAAACCTTACACAATACTTATTCTATATTAATCAAATTAGAAAAAAACCAGCTCTATTTTAACACAAAACTATTATTATTATTATTATTATTATTATTATTATTATTGTTTTAACATAACTCTAAAATGAACACGACAAAAGAAAAAAAATGAATAATATTAATTTGTTCTGTCTATTTTAATGGTAGCACCAACTAGAAAAAAATTTTTTTTTGTTTTTATTTGAATTTATTTAACATGGTACAGTTGTTTGACAATATCTTGTTTCTTTTAATGGTCCACATCGTTTACCACCATTACGTGCTCGACGTACAGGAATACGTGTACGCGTTTGTATGGCATCTTGTCCACAACCTGTACATGAAGACCATGTACTCCATTGACTTACAACACAATCGGTTGGTGCTAAATAAAATGAAATTTAAAAACATACAACTAATAAAAATATATAACTACGTACGACAAGGATTTAAATGGCATGGTTGAGTTTCTTCAAGTGATAATGATTGGCAACGATATTGATCAACTGCTCTATGATTATTCAATAATGTTCGTGTACGACGTCGAATACCATTACGACCACATGTTACTGAACATTCACTCCATTCACTCCAAGGACTCATTGGACATGATAAATCATTATCTAAAGAAGAATAGTAGATTGTTTATTTTATATATGCATTTCTTTTCATACTTACTTTTAACGACAAGATTATTACAAATAGTTTCACATTCCATTTTATTAGCAAAATTATTTTTATTATTACCACGAGCAGGACATGCACTATTACCAGAAAATGGTTCACATAACATACTTGTTTTATTATAATAATATCGTTCTAAACCACGACATCGATTATCTGCAACTGGTTCAGACATACACCGGTCTAAAACAAGAATAATAAATTTTATTAAATGTATTTTGTTTTTTTTTGAAATACAATTAATTTGTCAGAAAAATAGTTGATTCTAGAATAAAGTTAACTAGAACTAACAAATTTCTCTAGGACTAATTTACTTTATCGAGTTCTATCTTCGAAAGTATGTCATGAATAGTTCCCCAGAAGCAAAGAACATTCTCCTGTAATTATAAAATATGTCTCAGAAATTCTGAAACGATTTTACAATGTATCCAAGTTTTTATCAATGAATGGATGAAGCTCATTAGATCACACCTTCTAGTATTCGCCGTTAGAAAATGTATTTTATTGGTGACAGATATGCGAAATTCATTCGAACTATTGTATCAGAAAAAGTAATGGATGTTGCGCCTATAGAAAATATTTGAAGTGCATGAAAAGAAAGCTAACGAGGACGCAAATATAATAGTATCGAAAGATTGAAAAAATGACATGAAAAAAGGAATGGAGAAAACTTATTGTTTGTTTTTTTTGTTTTATTTTGATTTAAAAATATTGATCAAGAAAATTGAAAAAACAGTAAAAAGCATGAAACTTTACAGTTATGTAGTACTAAATAGATACAATCATTTGTCAAATTTGCAAAGGCTTTACTTTTGCCGAATGCCAAAACGATATATTTTAAAATCGTTTCAGAACTTCTAAAACATCCTTTATATATATTTCATACATTAGAATATCCAACTTAAATTAGCTATTTTTTGTTTCTTTCTTTTTTTATTTGTAAAAAAAAGATGTTCAATTATTGAAAGGCATCCTCCATACGGTTCAAACCGAATCAAAACCGTCAGTATAATTTGCACTATACTGGCGCTAGTGCGAACAATATTTTTGTATGCTCAAAACTTTTAAATCCAGGTTTTTTTCTCATTTTTAACAACGTATGTCTGTCGATTATAAATGTACGAACTTCACTTTAATTCATTTAATATTAACATTTTTGTTTTCAAAAAGTTTCTTATATCGATAGAATAAAATGTATCATTAAATATCTCGTAATCAATGATTCTATTATAAAATTACCTTTATTTCCATTATCATCGCATTGAGCAGCATGTGCACCCTGACATTGACGTTTTTCAATTAAATGAACATCTTTACATCTTGGATCACGATGTGAATTTTCATTGATATACCATCGTCGTCTTTCAGTTATACCTTGACCACATGATACTGAACATGGTGAAAATGATGACCAATCAGTTACAGCACATCTAAATAAGGAAAAACAAATTATTCAAAAAAATTTTTTTTTTTGTAAAACCAACATACGCTGCAACTTGTTGATTTTCATCATCACAATCATCACCTGTTCTTGCATAACACATTTCACTTTCACTTAATCGTTCATTACATCCATGATGATCAGTATTTTTATACATTCTACAAAAAAGAATAAATTTATTAACAAATTTTTTGAAAAATTTAAATAAACCTTGTTCGTGTTCTTAATCCATTTCCACATTTAACATTACATGGACTCCAATCTGTCCATGGTGATGTCATACATCGTGGATCAGATGATTGCTCATCTAAAATCATGAAAAAATATTTTCATAAATGTAATCAATAGATAAAAATAGAATTACCAAGTAATTCTATATTTGTTTTTGCAATATCTTTGTCATTTTCAATTTCACCCAGACGACTTAAATCAGCAAAATTTGGACCAAAATCAATAACAGATGATGTTTCACTATGTTGTGGTCGACCATTTGGACATGCTACACCTTGTGCCATAATTCGTTTAATACTCAATTTAGCAAATGGAGGTGGTTGATTGCCTAAACAATAAAAAAATAAACGTTAACAGTTTTTATTTTTAGTTAAATTCATACCAAAAAATGGTGATCGATTATCTGTAATATTACGTGAAACAATTGGTGCAATTGGTTTACGTTGATTCTCTGGTCGTTTAGGACCCTAAATAATATAAAATATCTCTTTTAAGTTATTCTAACAAAAAAAAAAGAAATGAAATCATCATTTACATCATATCGAACGCCCATATCTGTTCCAGCATCAATTGGATGAAGTAATTCTTCATAATTATCCAACCATGTACAATTTGGAAGACATAAATCAAGACCAGATACACCTATAAATGATAACAATAAAAAAGAAAAAGAAAAGAAAAGAATATTGAATTCTTATTAATTTCAATAGATTTCTACCAGTAATCCAATCAGGTGATGGTCCAAGCATAGTAACAAATGATAAGAAATGATGATTTCTTGAAGTTGTAAAAGCACCTGCAGTTGATTTGCTTATATTAACTGTCCAAAGACCAGGTACAATCATTAAATTACGAATAACACCAAATTTAGTCTAAAGAAATAGTGTTTTGTTTTTTTTAAAATTATTATTTAATAAAACAAAACCAAAGAAATTTACATGATTTTTTATTTCTTTTTGCATTGTGCCAATTGCTCCCCATTCAGCTACTTGTTTAAGACCATCACTTGCAATGCCACCATAATTCCATACTATTGAAAAACAAAATAAAATACAAAATTTATTAGTTAATATATATACATTCCGAGTAACAAATAGTTGTAGTCACATAAAAGAATAATCATATATTCTGATAACACTCGTTGTCTTGCCAGTAAATAATAGCAAGTCAAGGTTGACAGGATGCAGGATATTAGAGTTTCACCAATTGTCTGAATTTTTAATTGCTTTTCTTAAATAGATATTACCACACTCATCACAAATTTCAATTAAAACAAAAGAAGTCGTAAAAAAAAGTAGTTTATAGAAATTTGAAGACAAGAATGTCTTCGTTGTAGTCGAAATATTCTTGAATAAATCAATACAACCATAATAACAAATACACACGATTGCAGAGAATTTCGAGCACTATCATAAGATATGATTATTCTTTTATGCTGGAGATATATTCAAAATACCAACTACAACTATTTGTTTCGAGAGGTATATACATATATATATCATTACATGAATATTCTTCACTATGAACAGCTCCAATGATATCAGACCAATGAAGAAGATTTTCTACAAACAAGAAAATATACATATATATTAAATTTCTATAGATATATTTCTACCAGGTGGCCAATCTTTTGGATGTGTTTGTTTTGACCAAAGACCTTGAAATGTAAATTGAAATTTCGCTTCGTCACATGCACAACATGGATGACGAGGTCGATGAACTACTTTTGGTATATCTAAATAAAAATCCGATATTTATTTTTAAATCTTTTTCGTTCTTAATTTCGACTAACTCATCATCATCATTTCTTTCTGTTTATTTTTCGGTTGATTATTATGACAATCAAGTGTGCATTGTTGTTGTTGTTCCAAATGTTCCGTACAATGTGCAGCCATAGCTGCTCGTTTATCTGCATACATTCTTGTTCGAATTTGTGTACCTGGTCGATGACATGTAGCATTCATACATGATGACCATTCAGTCCACATTGAAACAAGACAACGTGGATCATGAACCACTATTATAATTCAAAAAATTCAAATAACAAATAAACAATCATAGAAATTTAGAAAAAAAAAACTATATACTTGATTTATGATCTTGAATAAGTTCATCACACATGGCTTCACATTCATCTTGTGTCATAAAATTATTTTCATTGCCTATTGAAAAAAAATAATAAATTTAATAAAAAAAAAAAAATAATTACAAAATATTTCATCAATACCTCTACATCCACCATATTGAAATTTCGAACATTTACGTGTTGTTACATCAAAATAGAATCGATCCATAAACTTAGTACATGGACCTGGTTCAAGTGGTTGCATACATTTATCTACATACATACAAAGAAAAATATATACATATTTTCTTTTGTAAATTTATAAATTAATTCTAACATACGTTTTCTTTCAGCTGTTTCCATACTTTTAATCATTGTTTTTCGTGTATCTGATAAACGATACATTTGTGCTGAATCACAAGGTACTTCACAATCACGAAATTCTTCTAATGGTTCCGAACAAAAACCCATAGCTAAAAATTTTACTTTATATGCACGAAATCGAACTTGTGTTCCACGTCCACAAACAGATGAACAAGCACTCCATTCTGACCATGGTAATGTCATACAACGTGTATCTTTACCATCCTCTAAATAACGAAATTCATTTAGAAAAAAAGAAAAAAAAAACAAATTAAAATTTTTGCTATATTATAACCTGTTCGTCCACGTAATAAAATATCGCATGTATCTTCACATGTATCACGTGTAAGAAAATTATTATCATTAGCACCACAACCACTATAATCAAATTCAAGACATTTACTCATATCCAAATTAAAATAAAAACGTCGTTCAAGATGTGTACATGTACCAATTTCAATTGGTTGCATACATATACGTTTTTTTTCTATCATATCTGTTAAACGACCTTGTTCACATGATGGTTTCATTCCCTGGCATGTTTCTTTTTCCATTAATTGATATTCTGATTGACACTGAGGATTATCTCGACCTTTTAACATTGTACGAGAACGAGTACGCATTCCTGTACCACATGTTACAGAACAATGTGACCATGATGACCATTCGCTTACCATACACCTATAAAAACAAAACCAAATTTCTCGTTTTTGATTATTTTTAATAATAAAAATAATAGAATATTTACATTGCATTATTTGATGATTTGAAATTATTATTTGTCATTGATGATGAACATGATGCCAAATAACATGAAGTCATATCATAAGTTCTTTGATTACAATGATTACGAAAAGCTTTGTCTGGCATAAGATAAGCACGTCGACGTGTTTTTATTCCATGACCACAACTAACCGAACATGATGACCATAGTGACCAGTCAGTCATACGGCATTCAGGTGATAATGGTTCTTCTTTAAAATACATAAAACAAAAAATAAAGAAATAAAGAAATCAAAATATGTTTCAAAACAATAATTTACCATAAGAATATATCAATTTTCCTGAATTATCATATTTTTGTTTCAATCGTTCATTACGATGTTTTGTTTGTGATAAATCAATATCAACCGATGAATCTTGATAATTATTTTGAACTCTATGTGAATTTTGTGTACCATGTTGATTATTTGGACATTGAGTACCACGAACAAGTGTACGTTGAAGAATAACACGTGCTACGGGCATTATTGGTTTACCTATCAAAATTTGTAAAAAAAAAAAAAAAAATAAAAAAAAAAAGACATTAATAATAATAACAATAAAATCTTAATACTAACTCATAGGATCATGAAAAGATGATGATGGTGAAACTGTACCAGTAATTGTATGGATTTTTTCTAATGGTATTGTTGGTAATCGACTTGACTAAAGTGAAATAATAAATTTTATCATTATACAACGAAAAATAAAAAAAATAATAAAGAAGCAAACTTACTGTATATGTCTTTCCACTATCAATACCAGCATCTAATGGATAAAGATCTTCTGAATATTGTTCAATCCATGTACAATTTGATAAACATAAATCAATTGCATTAACTCCTATATATATATATAAAATAAAATAGTTTTAAAAAATAAAATTTCATTAAATACATAATAAAGCATGACGAAAAAATAAAAATCTACCTGTAAACCAATCAGGACTCGGTGAAATTTTGCTAACAAAACTCAATTTAGGATGATAAGGTGAAACTGTAAATACATTCATTGTTGATTTTATTTCATTAGATGATAGTTTTAAAGGTTGAGCAAATAATAAACTACGAATAACCCCATTGAATGACTATAATAAACAAGAAGCAACATTTACACATATACAACATCAATAAATAAATATAAGAAGACATTACATATAATACAAGAAAACAAAAGTTGTTTTTTTTCTTTTTTCTAACAACGAAAATCTACCTATAAAAGAATCGGTTGATTTTATATTTTCATCAATATATCTATTAACAAGAGATAATTGATGAAAATTACGATTAACTCGAATAGCTTGATGACATGATGAACCGGACATAAAAAAACGTAAACCAACCGATCCTCTATTACGTTGCTAGTAGAATTTAATAAAAAAAACAAAAATTTTCTTTTCATATATAGATACATATACTAACTTCATTTGCTAATTCTTGTTCTAATGTATGTGTTTCACCGGTTAAAACTAATTGACTTAAACCACGATTTGCATATGAACCAATTTGAAACATTGTATAATTAGAATTATGAACAGCACCAACACTTGTTGAAAAATGAGCTAAACGTTAAAAAATTCAACAAGAAATCAAATTAACGAAAACTGCACCCATGTTTCGCGCTTGTCTCAAATGAATGAAAAGAAAAAAATCGTATGAGAACACTCCCGTTTCTCCGGTCTAGTATATCCGATCGAATTAAAACTTTTTTTTCACATATCCTATACACTATTTTGGAATGGGCAGTTTTTCTTTTTGTTTAAAAAAATATTGTCGTGCTGATTGTTTGTTTGCAGCCCTTCCAAAAACAGCAACATGGGTTTTTTAGGGTATCTTCGATAAGTTGATTTTTTTTATTCGGTGGACAGAAAAAAATAAGGAAGGTAGAGATATCCTTGAAAAAATTCTCATTACCTGTTGTTGATGGCCAATCTTTTTTATGTGTTTCTGGTGACCAAAGTCCTCGAAATGTTAATTGATATTTTGCTTCACCACATGCACAACATTGTTGCATCATTTTCTTCATATGCATTTCTAAATAGAAATAATATCTCATTTAAATGCATGATTGATTATTTTATAGAATACAAACGATCTTCACACAGTGTATACGTAAGAGCATTGTCATCTTTAAACCATACTGTATCTGAACGTACAATTATAGCTCTATATGAATAAAGAAAAAAATAACTATTCATTAAAATATCCTGTTAAAAAAATAAAACTTTTACTTAAATGAAATACATCCTTGTGGATGACGTGGTGCAATCCAATCAACAGATATAGAATTTTTTAATTTATCTGGATTTACATCTGTAACACCACCAGGACAATTACGTTGACTAATAATAGCTTCTTGCATTGATTCATCATTAGTATTTGTTGATGGTAATAATTCAAAATGTCCTATCGGTTTATATGGTTGTTCATCAGACCATGTTGATGGTACAGCAATAAGCATAAATTCTTTAAATGATGATTGATAAAATTGATTTTTAAAACCACTTAATGAAACTAAAATGAAATATCATATATGTGTATACTTTTTTTCTTTTTTTAACTAGTCTCAAATAATTTCAAAAATACAAGTATAAAACAAAATCTTACTTTTATATGTTCGTCCTGGTACATATGTTTTAAAACCACCTTCAACAGTTATACGAAAACCATTATCACCTGGTGTTTGAGGTATTAAATATCGTGATGAACGTAAACAAGTTGGTGGTTGTGCAAAAATAATATTGTTTACAATAAACAATTGTAAAAACCACACAATCAACATATTACAATTGATATTATCTATATCAAGAAGAAAAGGAAAAAGAATTTGTACGTCTTAATAAGATAACGTTAATATTCTAGATCGCGTCCAACAATCAAGATAGCGTACAAGAAAAACTAACAACAACAACTAAGACAGAGAATAATGTATTTGTATACAGAAAGCAACCGGAAGAAGGAAGAAAGAAAAAAAAGTAGTAGATCAATAGTAAGCGAAAAAGAGTATGTCCTGAGAAAAGAAATGAGATGATGATGGTAAAAAAGACAGCTTCTTTTCTTTGTCGTCTTTCTATTTCCCTTTCTTTCTTTTTTTTTTATCTGTATATCTTGTTGTTTTCCTAATACATAAATTGATGACAATAGAATGGTATGACAATTGAAGACTTACTCGATAATAGCTAATCATGTCAACATATAAACAAACTGTCATTCATATTAAATTTATGTATAATCAAATATACTTTTTCATATTTCATGACATCGAAAGATATATGTCGAGTCAAAAATAGTTCAGTTTTTATATATATATATATATATATATATATTTTTTCTTTTTCTTTTATTATATTTGACATTTTTTGTTAGTCAACAAATCAATAATTTAAATTGCATTAATTGAGTATATATTATTTACTCAAGAAACTTGTATTGATCTTGACCTTGAAGATATTTTAACTATTCTAAAAAAAGACAGATATATTGAAAAAAAACAAAAGTCCATATTAATAATAATAGTATTTCTATGACATAAATGAGAAAAAAAGCATAGCTTTTATGATAGACGGTACCTTAGAGACACAGTTATAATATGAAACATATTTTCTATAAACGCTAAGACAGTTGTCATTACCTAAATGAGAAATATTTCTTATGTCCTCCATAGGTTAATATTCCTAAGAGAGACAAATGAGATATCTCTAATGTAATGCCATGGACAAAAAAAAAACAGAAGATATTAAGCTAAGTACTTCTTAAATATATCAATAGATTATCCAAAAATGATAATCTCAAGATAAAATAATGATCCAGATTTTCTCATAAATGCAAAAAAACAATGTATCAATTTTCTTGATTTCACTACTCAATAATTGTTTATTTACTTCACTCTCGTAATTGAATAAAAAATGATTATAAAAGAAAAATATACCAGTCAATATAGATAAATAATTGATAGACTCGTTCGGTATCCAATTAAAAACCTCAAAAAAAAATAAAAGTTCGAATATGCTTAAACCATACAAAGTGTAATGCCAGAAACACTATAATACTTCATAATAGAAGACTCCAGGATATTTTCTCTATATAATTTACAGATGCTGATAATCCAAAAAATGCTCTATAATATTTCACCACTCTATATGTGGTATAATAATATTAGAATTTTGATCAAAACTGTTCACTTCTGATTTAAATGGATAAGGAAAATTTTTTTCGTCTATATTTAAGTCCGTATTGCACTGCATTCTCTTTTCATCAATCAGATTCCACCTCTCCGAACAGTTGAAAGATGATAAAATATAGTTTTGTAAAGGTCGAAAAGATATTGAGTTTGTAGTACAACCTGGGAGGTATCTGTAATCGAACAAATTTATTGCCTTACTAATTATGATCTTTATATAACAAATGACGAATTACAAGCATAAAGTGATTTGAATTATGACACTATTAAATAAATAATTTTCAATCATTGTAAGCTTAAAAAGATTACCGATCGTTGTATATCGACATATTTGACTTGGAGAGTCATCATGAAAGAGAAGGTGATAATTAACAGTCTAGTAGATAGTTTATCGTCTTCAATTGTCCTGAGAGATGAAATCTGGACGTTGAAAACAACACATAGTTCATTATAAAATAACTCTTACTTAAATATGAACTTTATTGTAGAAGTAAAAGCGTTGTTTTTTCAATTCATCTAAATCAGAGCTTGACAGCTTTGATCAAAATTCTAATATTATCATATCAAATCAAGAATGGTAAAATATCATAGATTTATAAGAGCAATGTTTACAGTATCAATATTTGTTTATATATATAGAGAAAATTTCCTGAAGCATGCTATAAAGTATTATAATGTTACTATCATTCCTCTTGGTGGTATGTCTTAAGTAAACTATTATAATAATAGTTTCATATAAGAAAGTTGCAATGAAAAAGCTTTCATCTATTAATCTGATAATATCTCAATAAAAAGTTTTATCTTTTTCATAATAATTATATTCATATTGTTCATATTCATTTTAATAAACTTCATTAATATAATTATTATAGCTTTATGTAAAAAGTCATTTATTCATTGATCGAGAAACAACGAACATATCTAGCATATGATCTATTTTATAAGCGTAATAGACAGCAAATAAATGAAATACGGACAAGAAAAAAAAAACGAAGGGTATATGCGTACATAGAGACTACTTATGAACATAATAAACAAACAAGTAATAGATGAATAAACAATAGATGACTTGTTTTAGTGTCTAGAACGACAAGTACACGCACACCCACACACACACACGCAGAAAATACATACAATGAAATAGAAGTAAAAAATGAGATATTAATTATTGACTTTGACATATTTTTATGTCATTCGAATGCTAGTTTAAAAACGAAAAAATGTTGTTGTTTTATTGAACATTATTTGTTGTAACAGTAGCTGTTTCATTAACTGATGCGACAGGTCCAGTTGTTGATGGTGTTCCTGTTGATTTTTTTGGTCGACCTCGTTTTCTAGCTGAACCATCAGTACTAACTGATGCCTTAGGTTTTAATGATGATTTTTTAATACTACCAGATCCTGATGGACGACCACGTTTTCTTCCTGATGAAGCCGTTTTCGATGGTGTTGATACTGCAGCTACTACAGTTTTTTTTGGTGTTCCTGATGGTCGTCCACGTTTTCTCTTTATTGGTTCATCAACTACTTGTTTTTCTTGTTGATATGAAACCGGAGTTACTCGAACCTAAAAATAAAAAAATAATTTCTATTTAAATAGGTGTCTATTTTTTTTTCTTGTATTTACTTGTGGTTTACTTATTCCATTGATTTGTTCATTCGATGTACTGCTCTTCGATGGTCTACCACGTCTTTTTTTATTTACATCAACATTTGTTGATGTTTCTTCTTTTTTCGTATTTAATGCAGTAACCTTTTTTGTTGATGATGATGTTTCACCTGTTTTTGGTGGTCGACCACGTCCACGTTTTGATGCATTAATACCACTACTTCCTTTTGTTGTACTTCCAGATTTTGGTGGACGACCACGACCTTTTTTTGTACCAGTCTTACCTGATGATGATGGATTATTCATACTTTCATCTAAATAAAAATATTATTCTATTGGTAAAAATGAAGAGAACAAAAAAAAAACAACAGAATTTGTTTACCATGAACACCATTATATGTTACACCAGTATCCATTGGTAAAACACCAGCACTATCATTTAAAGCCAAAGTATTATGTTGTTGTTCCATTATTTAAATAATATGAATATAACAATCTGTGATAGAAAAAGAAAGAAAAAAAAAGAACAAGAATGTCTTCACGAGATTGACCCCTATCTTTCTTTCTAATGATAGAGAAAGAACAAATGAACAACGATCAATTGATGACGTCTCTTTGTTATATGATAGGCCAACGAGAATTAAACTAATCGGAAGAAAAATAATTTTCACAAAAAAATTTTTCAAATTAATAATTTAATAATTTTGTTTGTTTTTCTATTCTAATTAATGACAACAAATAAAGAAAAAAACAAGTCTCATTTATTCTGCAAGTGACATCTGTTATTTCAATCCAAAAATTCCTATTGGTTCCAGCAAGAATTATATGTAATGCAAGTAATTTTTCTTGAATGAATGTAAAGTTTTTTTTTTCCTAATAAACAAAAACACACGCACATACACACGGGAAAAAGATACTGTACACAAAAAAAAGAAAGCCAATAATGCTCAAAACAAAAAAAAAACGAAAGGCCGGGTATTTAAAAAAAAACAAAAAAAAACCGAACCCGTTCTATATACTTCCTGTTATATATATAGAAGCAACAAAATGGTCACATCAAAGTTATTATACAAATATACAAGAGAATAATCTTTGTTGTTTTTGTTTTTTTTTTGTTTTTTCATCATCAAATGTACATAAAGCCAAAAAAGAAATTCATATATAAGGAGAGAGATAGTGACAAAAAAAATCACAGATGGAACAATGACGCGTACTGTAATATAGAGAATAGTAGATATACAAATATGTACAGAGAAAAAAAAACCAGAAAAGACATGAAACTGTTCATCAACGTTATGCACGAAAACAAAAAAGAAAAACTCGAACAATAAACCAAACAAACAAACAACAAATCAGTTGATTGTGAAGCAATGAAACAAAACAAAAGAGAGAGAGAAAAAAAAATGTAACATGAAACAAACTAATGGTACTAAACCGGGAAAATGACCTCTCTCTCTCACTCTCACTTAATTTACAACACACAGAAATAAAAGTAATAGATACCTGAAAAATGGTCTGCTTGTTATACACACACATATTTTATGTATATATATATATATATATGTAAAATTTTTATGTACAAACTATTTTTTACATCATACCGATCTGATTAAATACAGATTCATCATCGCCATATAGATCAATGAGTACACCTAATACTTGAGGATGTTCATTGGCAAGTGCCCATTCAACAAGTGACATATCTCCTGTTTTACGTCGTTCTTCATAACGACGCCAATCACTACCATGTTTAAGTAAAGTAACAACAACAGAACCTTGATTACATTCAATAGCTCGTTCTAATGGAGTTTTATTTTCAAACCCCGGATAATCAACAGGAAAACCACGTGTTAATAAATAATCTACTATATCAAGACGACCAAAACCTATGGCAACATTTAATGCTGATTCACGAGCCACCGAGATGCAATACTAAAAGAAAATAAAAAAATTATTTCTTTTCTAAAAAAAACATTTAAGAATGTTATATTTGTTTAAGGACAATATTTGAAAAATATTATCTTTTTCCTGAAATTTCTCTTATTGAAAATGTTATATTCAATAAACTATCCTTGAATATTTTCGAAAATTATACAAAAAAAAACTGCATTAACATATCAAGATTAAATAGACTAATCCATTAGTTTTATTTTTATTTTGATTTACTACATAAATTAATCTTAATACAACACATCTATTCGTTGATTTCATTCCTATAAGAAAAGATATGATTCATATTCTTTCGTTTTTTTCCCCTATACTCGAAACTATTCAATAATGAATAATTCATCACATGAAAAATAAAAAGCAATCTGTTATTATTGTTCTTTTTTTGGTTAGATTATTTTCTACATTTTTAAGTAATCAAACTTACAGGATTATGGCCGAGATGAAGAAGAAGATCAACCATAGCAAGTCTTCCATTAGAAATTGCTGCATATAATGGTGTATGTCCATTTGAATCAAGTAAACATGTATCAGCAACCATTGGTTGTTGTCGAAGTCGACTATGTAAACGAATTATTCCTGATACATCATTTGTTCGAACAGCATGATGTAAATCAAATTTAGGTTGTTGTACTTCAGGTTGCTGTTGTGGTTGCTGTTGTACTTGTTGCTGTTGTACTTGTTGATGTTGAACTTGTTGTGTTGACTTTGTTGTATGTGATGGATGTTGATAAGGTGTATAATGTGTACGATGTTGAGAAATCACCGGACCACTATTATGATGATGAGCACGATGATGATAATTACTCTCAGTCAACATACTACTCGTCGTGATCACGATGGAATTAAATAATAATAAAAAACAATATCTGAAAGTAAAATCATACTTCAGTTAGAAGAAGAGATATGTGTGAAAATGACCTTCTCCTTCTTTTCGTCGTCGTATTCTTCTTCACATCACCCTAGATCGATGGTCTAACATGCCCTCAGTGCATCTCTCTCTCTTTTCTCTATTAATCGAAAGAGAAAGAAAAAAAAAGAAATAGCGAAAGAATTACACTCGATATCCAGGTTTTTTTCCTTTTTTTTCATTTTAAAAATGTATTATAAATAAAAGCTTAGAAAGAAAGAATTTTTTTGTCCTTAAAAGTTCTTCTGTATTTAATAGATTCTCAATATGAGCTGCTGATGCCAGCATCAGCTGTTGAAATAAGCAAAGACGAAGAAGAAGAAGAAGAAGAAAATCGATCATATCAAGACAATTGGCCTCCACGTTCTATAGATAGCGTAATAGCTTTGTCCTCCACAATCGTTCGTTCACATTTGTGATGGACGGGATGGATATGGTACACGTTCCTTTTTCTTTTTCCTACGTCCTTGTCCATTCTCCCCATCTATTCATGCATTTCTTTTGTTCGATAATTTTATTGTCAGCTACGCACAACAACGCAAGTCCTTGTTCTCGAAAGATACGTATACAGTACTCACAAAAGAAAAGAAAAGAAAAAAAGAACAAAAAGAAAAGAAAAGTCCTCTGTCTATAAACCTACTACGAATGCGCTTACATCCGTATATACTAGCAATCACTAGCACATGTATATATTTGCACATTAGCTACTTGGTCGACGACTCACTATTCCGACAAACAACAATGCATCTGTTTTTTTTTTATTCTTGAGTGGTGCATTGATGTGTCTTTCTTTTTTTTTTCTATATGCTACGCAACTAGTTGCCTCAAGCATGCCTGCCACATTCAGTTAGTCAATCATTCATTCACTTGAAGATGAAAGCATCATCATCATCCTTTTCATTCCTATTACTACTATTACCTGTTCCTCTTTCGTCTAGCGAAAAGTAAGAAACGAAAAAAAAGAAAAAAACAGCACTCAACTCAATAACTAGGAAACAAAACGGCAAGCAGAAAAGAGAAATGATTCAACTAAAAAGAAATAGGAATGTTGCCGTTTCTGTTGATAGCTAAATCAATAATGCCAGAATACAACGACTCGCAGACGTGTGCTTGTTCTCTTGCGACTTCCTTTCTTTTTATTTTCTATTCCTAAAAAAAAACCGCATCTATCAGCTGCTTATTGAATATATAAGCATTGAGAATTCAATGCCAGAACAAGAAGAGAAAAAAAAAAGAACCTGGAAGAACAAGAACAGACAAGTCATCATCCTGTCTCATTCGGAAACATTCAGAAGCCAAGTATTGCTATACACAATCTATTAGCAACATATTTAGGCAAAAAAAAAATCGCAGCAAAAGAATAGAATTCTTTTCACTCACTATTTGTTTTCATATGAAACAATGTGATTGCGCTTTGTGTATAGAAAAAAAAAATGCAAGAAAGATAATTAGAACACAAGAGAATAAGTCAACGATTATGCTAGTTGACTAGAACATTTTTATAGAATAATATTCGTCTTGAACCTCATCGGAAGTAATGTTGATCATGCAAAAAAAAAAAAAGAAAAGAAAAAGAACAGAAAAAAAAACCGATAAACAATGTGAACGTTTTTGTTCTTCTACCAAACTTTTTTTCTATTCATATCTATTTTTATCTTTCATATCAATGAATTGATAATAGACAACATACACTTATACAAAAACCATTCGTATCCTTAAACTGATATCCAATGCACTGAATGAAGTTATTGTGACATTTTGTCAATGCTAACTACGTATGATAGAAATATACAAAACATAATGCGTTGTTGTACATATGTAATCAATTATTTCAATATATTCATTTTTGTAAATTCAAGTTTTAATAGAAATAACAAAAGAAATTTTTTTAGTACTTGAATATTTGTTTTTCTCTCACTGTTAAATATTTACCTGACAATGTAATAATTATATTAAAACAAAAAAAAACTGCATATAAATATCAACGAAAGAAGAGAAAAAGAGAAAAATAGAAGGATCCTTATGATTATATACATGTGCCACGTCAATGATGACGCACAACTATCCAATTGGATGTTGTTTCACCATACGATGACGTTCGGTCTTACATCATCGACGTCATGTGATTGCTGTTCAGGATGCGCGCAATGGATTATCTATTTAAGGGGTTATACATATGATATATATTGAAGAGATGAATGAACTTAACATAAAAATAAGAATTATTGAATAAGTAAGAGAGCAGAGAGAAAACTGATAAAAAAAAAAAAACATACAAACATACACAAAGAACTGTTTTCTCCTGTCGAAATTTTTTTTTTTCGATCAATTATTTTAGTAGACGATAAACATCAATTATAAAAAAAAAAAAAAGTAGCCTGTCATTATGTTGTCTAAAGTGATCACCTTTGTTATATATGTCTATTCGTCATCGCCTCATCCATTATCTTCTTGTCTTCATACAATTGAGTGGAGACGTGAGTAGAGATACAGTTGAAAAAAAAAGAAGAAGGAAAAGATATCGAATATATGCATAATACAGATTATCTTTAACACAAACATGTGGCTAATTAACTTCTTTCATTTTTTTCTTTGTTTTTCATCAAATTGAACAGTCAAAATTGATTATATAAATATCTAAATTACTTTTTTTTAGGGCATAATTTTTGACCTCGGATAAGGAACGTTCGATGCGTATGTTTGTAATGAATACGTCATATTCTCTGAATAAAGATAAAGAAAACGAAGAAAAAACCGACATATCCAAGGCTGTTTTTAAATTACTTGTCTATGCCAAGTCACTATTTGATGAAAGAAAAAGATAAGAAAACGAGATGTAGTTAGATTTTGCTATTAACAAAGAAATCGATACAAAATGATAAAAAAAAAATATTGTGTCATACATGTTTTTTTTTGGATAGAAATTCTGACCTATAAAATTTTACTAAGAGGCATATTTGCATGCAAGATATTTACATATATAACATTTTCTATTATATTCTAAGAGTAAAAAAGACATAAAACGTGTACATTACTTTGTGTTTTTTAATGAAAAAACACTTTGTAATCTTTTGATGAAACTTCTTGTTTTTGGACTTTGACCTTACCTTTACGTCCACAAATAACTCGTCTAAAATACTTTTTTTTTTTCAACATAAAATTCTTTTACAATGATATAAAATATTTAAATAAATAAAACCATTATTTTTGTTTTTCTTCAAGATATGAAATATTTTTATTTTATCGTAAACCATTCTTCGAGTAAACGTAATGCGTCATTGAATAAGTCATAATATACTAGATATGAAAAAATAAATAAAAACAAAGAAACTATGATATGTTAATATTTCAATTGTATATATGTATATATATATATTGTTTTTTCTTTTACCTCCACAACATTTTCGTCTTTTTGATCTTGAATCTTTTGGACAACGAAAAAGTTGTTCAGGTTTTAAATTTTTAGAATATTCATGCATTTTTTTATGTTGACGACTTTTTCTTAAATCTAATTCATTTAATAAATGTTGTGTATTAATATAATTTTTATTCACTATTGGACTCATATTATATAGAAATTGCATTTTTTCTCGACATTGATCTGATATATATAAAGTAGAATCAATTGAATGATTATTTTGTTGAAAAATTTGTATATCAGATAATACTGATGAAGTAGAAGATAACATACGACTAATCTGTAAGATCGATGAAAATAAGTTAATCTTTTTGTAAATAGACAAAAAAAACCAAGTCTCATCTTACCATAGATGATTGATGATAGTCTATTCTTGGTACACTGGATTGTACAGGAATCATATTTTCTTGTTGTATCTTCATTTTTTTCGATCTAATATTCAAAATAAAATCATGTTTATAATTATGTTTTTATGATTGATAGACTAAGAATTTCATTCGGAATTTTCAGATTTGCATAAATTTACTAGGATAAGAAAAATACGATAGTTTTTCAAAAAAGAAAAAACCAGAGAAGTTATGAAGATATTGTTTATAAAAAGTGACTATCAAAGAAAGTTTCATTTCTATATTCTAGTTTATCAGAATTATTATCGTTTCAATTGAATCCTATTAACATTTGCATCGATCTAACGCCTTTTTTTTCTCTACGTAGAAAGACCTAGATTTTTATTTTCAGACAACACTTATCTACTTAAGTATTCGAAATTTTATAGAAATAATTCGAACATTAAATTCATTGTTATCTATTAAACTCCTTAATTTCTCGTTGAGAGAATCAAATTCATAGATAGTTACATCATTCGAACTATTGTATTCAACTGTGTATTGAAACAAGTGCATAGTAGTATTCGATTCAATTCATCTAACAAAATGTTTGATTATTTCGTCAAAATTCTCTTATTGTAATTGAAAAGATTTCAATTTTTACATTATCTTTCTTTAGTCATAAGTCACTAACAAATAACATCGAGACATATTTTTTTTGCATTTATTTAACTTGAAATTTTAAACATGAGCGAAAATAAATAAATATTTGATTAACATTTATACGTGTTATTATATGATTAATATTCTAGACATTCTTGTTTTTTTTGCAAAATATTATACTTACTTGATCTTTCTGTTTTTCGTTTTTCTTTGATTATGTTTCTTATTCATTTTTTTAATTTTTCTAAAATAAAATTATATGAAATATTAAATATTAATAGAAATTTTTCTACTTACTCTGCCTTTTTCTCTAATGGAATATCTTTATTTATTAATTTATTATTATTTATTTGTTGAGAAAATTTTGAATTTAATAAATGACCATATTTATTTATATTAATACGAACTTTTTTCACTAAATTTATTGAATTTAAATTTTTATTTAAAGATAATTTATGTGAACATGTTTGTTTATTTTTAATAAATAAATAACGATGAAATAGATAAGCCAAATTTGTACTTAGTACATCTATAAATGATTGAGATCGAGTCATGTCTTTTATTTTATTTTTTTCAAATGAAAAATAACCTTAGCAACTTATATTAAGATCAAAAGAAAAAAAGAAAAAGATTTTGATATTAATTGATTATGATTTACATGAAATAAATAATTATTATTCATTTGAAGAATAAAAAAAAAGACTAATCTTCAATATTGATTGAATTTCATTCATAAAGAGAATATTCAAGTATGATTTATGAATGCATAAATCTTGATATGATTGTTTATTTATTTACTATAGTATGATGTATTGGATAAACTGTAAGTATTTGTAGTGATAATAATTATTATCATATAGAAAATTAACGATGATTATTAAACAATATGACGAATTAAATTAATAATCATCTATAAACAGGATTAAAACAACAATTAAAATATAAAACTGATGCCACTATTTTACGCAATAGTGGGCGCTAGTATCTTGAAATTATTTAATGAATTTAAGCAAATATCAACTACTTTTGCTAACGAACATCTTAGTTAACTTTGCTATTTAAAAAAAAAACATACGTATAGAATATTTAAACACTATTTTCCTACTTGTATACTTCTAATAAACTATTAAAATACAGATTGTTTTGATAACTTTTTGAAAATACCTTATTGTTTTATGAAATAAATTAGAATCGATTTATAGTCACATTGAATATCTCTAGTCATGAACATTCTAATTTAATAGTATATTCATTGATATTTAAGAACTATTTCAGTAATTTTTATGTGTGGTCATAAAGATGAAATGATTATGTATTGATCAGTGAATATGTTTAATATCATCATAAATGTTGATGTGATGCAAACCAATACTATTATAGATTATGTTCAACATTCTTTTATAACATCACTTATACAATACATCTGGTTTTTGTTTTGTTTTAATACTATCTTGCCTATTTACTTCACATCCCATTTACTCAATTAAGATATGTATAAGACTTAAAGCTAAATATAATCATTAATACATTTACCACAATATAGTTGTTTACATCACAACCAATATTTTATATACAGAATTTGTTTTTTGTTTTTATTGAGAGAAATAAGAATAAATATAATTTATTAATTATTTGAATTTTATACATTTCAAACATCTTCTCATAGAATAAGAATCTAGATAAAATTTGTTAAAAATCTGTTTTCTCATGCATTGTAGATTTCATTTTAATTGATCGTTGGATAAGGTCAACGTCATATGCTTCATCGTTACCATCGTGTTTAATGGAGACAGTAGATGATGCATTATATCCAATGACATAAGCCATTAATGTATTGCCACAACTCATTAACGTCAGAATTGTGCTACGAGACTCGCACTAATATATGATTATTAATCTGAGCACTAGGAAACATGTTAGAAAGGTATCGTAGATCAAGAGGGTTATGATTTTCAAGAATATGTAGATTAATCTAAGAGTTATGAAGAATATTGGAAGGATAATATAGTAAGACAGAGGGTTGAGAATGGGACTGTTAATTTTGTCTTACTTTGAAAAATAAAGCAAAAAAAAAATTTATCTTTTATAGGGACATGTACACTATAGAAGATATTACAATGTAATACGATTGTAATTCGATGAACTTTATGATATGGAATGTTGTCGATTTAAAAATACACTAGCTATGGACAGATATTGTCAACAACATCAAGGATTAAATCATTCTTTTCAACGTTTTTCAAGTAAATTGACAAGCCAACAAAACTTTTTGAAAAGCATTTATTATCTTTTCTAATTAATCTAAATACGTCTTAAGTATTTGTTTTGAGTATTCCTTCAAACATATATCATGCCTTGATGGGATTCTACTCTTCAACATCTTCGAATCGTACTTACTTAGTTCTGTTAAAACTCAGATCAATAACAATTTTTCGAATCGTTACCGATATGATAACTGTAGTTATTTTCATTTTCATCCATCCATCATTGACTTCAATTACTTTTTAATAACGATATGGGACTCTTTGATTTTCATAACATTTTCTTTTTTCTAATTCATCAAATATAGTGAGATGATATAGATATAGAACAAAATAGTCATATGTGATTCCTTTTTTTTTTTTTTTTTCAATTTATAATTTTTTAGTTCTTCAGTAATATTAAGTATTGTAGTGCAGTTGATACAAGAGATGAAAGTTGTTCTCGGTCAATATTATAAAAGACAAGCTAGTTTATTCTTTTATATACCTGAATTTTTCAAAGATAAAGATTATATTGTTATCTTGATCTTTATTTGAACGAGAAGATAAAAATAAATGTACATATTTAGTCGAGAAATAGGTACTATCTCTAGAATTATACATTTGATTAAGTATTATCATGAATATCTTGCATTGCATTGCACAAATAATTAACTACATATTCTAGTTTGGGGTTTTATTCATTAGTTCATGTCATTATCTAACTAGTATTACTATGTGCCGCAATCGATAGGGAGTCAAAGTAGTAAAATCAATTGATACCATCGAACAATGCTGAAAGAATCGATTTCAAGAACTAAAAAGAAACAATTCACACGACTGACATTCACCCGTAGTATTGTAAAATATATCGAACCGTCTATTGATACATCGCTTGTATCTATCACTATCAACACTGCTTGATCATTTCTAGTCTCTCGAAGTAATTCCCTCTTGAAACATTGGTATACCAGAAAAATTCTTATAGAAGATAAATAGCAACGCTCCGTGGAAGTTAGCGATTTCCTCTGAATGATATAGCGAGTTCCCATTGAAAAAAGTGACTTCCTCTTGCAATCTTACGTATCTATAAAAATTTACCGTATAAAATAGGCAACACAAAAATTGCGGGAGTTAGCAATTTTCCAGGGAAAGTGCACGATATCTCGACTTTCTAGGAAATCGATAACTGCTGCGGAAACTCTACCAGCCTACTTACAGCAATTTGAAATTCCGATACGATATTCATTCAATTAAATTCTCGATATAATCGATGTTATTCAAGAAGATTTCTGTTCTAAAACTCTATACTTGATTAAATCATTGTTAAGTCGAAGTGCGAGATTTTGTCTTGGCATTTATAGCCAATTTTATTGAGTAACTGAAGACAATCATATACGAAAAATTATTATCACTTTTGCCTAGTCAACCGTCTTTGATGGATAACACAGATGTTGAAAAACAAAACGACAAGGTCAATTATTTATAGAAGTATGCTCAGAATAGAAAGGAGACAGAATTTTTCCTGTTCTTTTTATGAATGAAACAAGAAATGAGTTCAGGTACATTCAAACTAGCTCATCGTCTCTTACCGCATATGGAGCTCATAAAAGAACATATTTGACATTTTATTCAGAAAAACTCAATCATCAAAATAACCATATTTTTTCCTATAAAAATAAAATTTTCAAGTTGACAAAGAAGGTGAAAAATTCGTAAATAATTGAATAAGATAGTATTATATAGATAAATGTTTTGGTTTTATAATTTTCTTGATTAGTTTGTAATAGCATTTGCTATGAACTTTTTCTTCGAAAAACTAATTGTATTCGAGGTATCGGTCCATTTTGATATATCAATATTAGATATTTGTTTCAAACTTTCTATCATTGCAGTTGTTGAATCTATAGCTACAGTGCAGACATCATGATTTGCTCGCCGTTGTCTTTCACTCTCTAAACATAATTGAATGTCTTGAATATGTTGTGAAACCGTATTTGCTTTTTCTTCAGTATCCGCCATATAACGCATAAAATTCATATTTGCTGAATTTAATTGAACTAAACCTTCAAATATTTGATCCAAATAGCTAAGTGCCTTCAGCTGATGGCGAGCCCAAAATTCTTTTACCAAAAGAATAGCAGTTCCAGAGCACAGTCCACCTACAATACACGCACCGATGATAGCAGTTACAGGCGGAAAAGCTGTTCCTGCAATCACTAATGCACCAACACCACCAAACGCTTCGGCTGCAACACACCCTCCCATTGCAGCTCCCGATGCGAGTGAACCCACTGGCATGGAATATTTAAAACAAAAGCTTGCAATTTCCAATCGTTCCTCTACAACCATTTCTTTTGATTGAACCGTATTAGTCATACTGTGTATTCGCTCGTCTAGTTTTTGACTTTCAACTTTTGACGACTTAGCTAAACTGAGCAAGCTTTGTATTCCATCTGACATTCGATTCAATGCAAGTTGAATGTCTCTTTTATCGATTTCGTTAAGTGTCTGAGTTGGATCTGTATTCATAACATCTTGAACAATTGTCATTTGTAATTTCGCAGCTGTGAGTAGGGGAAGCATCATATTTACATTATGTTTTGCTTGCATTACCATTCGAACAAAACATTGAATAAGATCACGAAGTTCATTTGCCATATCGCTGTATTCTTGAACCTCTTTCATCATGTTTTCAAGTAATTGTTTAATGCTTTCTACTAATTCTGGAATTTTATGCAGTTTTTCAGCAAATGGTAATGAGGAAAAGTTAGTTGCAATGGATAAAAATTGTCGGAAACGATGAGTTTGTTCATCCTCATTAGAAGAATTGGTTTTCTTAACAGGAACATGAAGTGATGCTTCAGCTATTTCATCTGCTTTAAATGATTCCCAGCTGTCATTTCGTAAAAGTCCTTGACTGATTTCTTTAATATATGCATTGACACCATCATGCTGCATCTGTTCTTGTTTTATCATTGCTTGGACTGATACTTCATTAGTAATATCCATTGTATTGGTTGTTATGTCTCACCTGAAAAAAATATTATTTATAGTTGAACGTTGTTATCAATTATTTAACCTGTTAACGAAAATCAAAACACGTATATAACGAAAATGCAGCTATCGTAGATTGTTGTAAATATTGAAATGTTAAATTATTTTCGAGCATGTTAAATATAACCAGGGCTGCCAAATCTTCTGATTTAGCCAGGAGCCTCCTAATTTTTAGACTTTTCTCCTGGTGAAAAAATCTCCTGAATCCAGGAGCTGATTTTTATGATTTTCTCCTGGTTTCTCCTGGTTTTTTAAAGGATTTTGTCACGTTTAATTGTAGTGGTATTTTGAATCAATAAGACAAAGAAAAAGAGAACTATCACACTATTTCATAGATGCAATAGACAATAAGAAAACACGTCGTTTCTGCTTGTTAGGCCTGATAACATGCGTTTATTTGTGAGCTTATCTTCTTAACGGTTAAAATGTACCTCATGAACAAAAACTAGTTTAGTTCGCTTTTTCTATATCAACCTAGAATGCTATTTGCGAATTGAAGTTCAGCCACATGAAATTTTTGTGGGCTCCTAACAGAAACGATTTGAAGTGCAATCTTATTGGTGCATAATTAGGAACTAAATGAATAATCATCTCAGTTATACAAAGTTCTATAATTATCTTTTAAATAATTCAAACCTATTGAAACAAATTCAGTCTTGAGAAAAATATGGCCATGTTCATAGGTGGCGAAATGTTTTGGATCTAGGGTAGGCTCAACAATTTTTTACAAGATTCGCACCAGAAAATTAAAAAGATGGAGTAAGCCAATTTTTTTGATGCCATCTTGATGAAACAAAGTTAGTATTTCTCATTTCGAACTCGTATTTTGTAATGTATGACGCTGATAGAGATAAGAAAAGCATTTGCAACTTATGTGTCAAAAAACGTGCATTTAAGAAAACATGTCTATGATTATCTTCATTGACTTCCAACTCTCACAAGAATTCTTTTCCGTCTGCTGTGCTAAAAAATAAAATAATGTCCAAGCAACAATGTTCACAAAAACGACATTACATTATGAATGTTTTTATTGTGTTGAAAAGATATTTTTTCTGCGGGAATATTTTTCTATACTCGTCGTTTTCTTGCTCCATTTCTTATGGCAATGGGAACTCCATTAAGTATTGGTGTTCCCGCATTTTTTCTCGTATTTACCTACATATTTGGATACATATATGTAGCAGCTTTCTATTTTTACGTAACTAACCTACTGTAGCTACAATCATAATTATATATTTAATTTCAAGTCGTGTCACAGTTATCTTAAAATCTAAAAATAAAACAGGAATATGAATTCCTGAAGTCTTACGATTAGAAGTGTAAATCGCCGAGTTGAGTCGCCGCTGTCGGTGGGACAAAAAAACTAACAGTTTTGAAGATTTTTCGACGCCTGAGATCACTCTTCAATGATATTTCTGTCTAGGTTTTTTATCAGTGTGTTCTCTACCATTGTTTTCTCTTTTTTCATCCGATAATTTCTCGGAAATAAGAAAACCTTAAAGAAATCGTCCAACAAATTCACTCGCCTTCGCCGACAGACTAAAAAAGTTGAGTATTTTCAGTCGCTACCGGAATAAAAAAAAATAAAATCACACTTACACACCACCGATCTATGAACTGGTTTACGCTTCTGCTTACGGAAGTGAAAATAAATTTTTTTCTGGGAATGAGACTGTAAGAACAAGAATAACAATTTTTTTCCGAGAAAGAGAACATACGGGCGAGAACAGCAAATTTTTTCCGAGAATAGAAAGACTAATCGAGAAAAGTTGCTCGCATAGCACTAATGATCGGGTAATGTAAACTTAGTCGCTAAAAATGATGAAAGTCTTTGACAGCTACTAGCTGATATGATTCAGGTTTTTTATGCAGTACTTCGTCACTTTTAACGAAAGAACCTCACTTTAAATCATGGCTGACCCAAGCTTTGACATTTATCCACATAAAACTAAAAGTTTTCACAAAAAACAGTTTCTAGGTCTGTTTCAATAAATGTTACTATTTGTTGCCGATAGAGACAAAAAATCTTGACGTCTGTACAAACTTTTTATGCACTGCACAAACCTATCAATTTGACGTAGTAGAAAACAATTATTTGAGCGTACCATAGTCTATGGAACCTGAACCTAAGATAGACTTTAGTCTACTCAAGCCGTGTGATCCCATCATCTACGAATAGACACTATCTAAGTCTTCATTTATTCCATCCACGAGCCTACCTAAGCCTTTAGCTGTCCAACCTAGAGTAGGCTCGAGCATACTCAAGACTTGTGACCCCTTCATTCATGGTCATGTTACAAAAGTGACATGAACGATATAGTTAATAAATTATTGTTCACGTATGCCCATTTTGTTTAGTTACATATTAATGTCTAATTATACTTCATTTTCTATTTTGTCGGTATATATTGATAAACCACTGTGAAATGAGTAGTAAAATAAACTCCACATAATTATGTTTTTTTAAGAATATATATCACTTTGAGGAAATTTTGTCATCAGTAACTTAGTAGAGGAACATAACGAGTGATTAGACGAACGAAAACTTCAGTTTTCTTTGAGAGAAGACCACTAATTCATTTTCTGATTTCAATAAACATCTTCTGATTTTTCCCCTGGTTTTTCAGTAAAAATTCCCTGGTAAACTCCTGATTTTTCGCAAAAAACTCCTGATTTTTGAAATTTGGATTTGGCAGCCCTGATTTTAGCTTACATTCCAACATATTCTTTACTCACCATTTGTATTTATTTTGCCATGTATACATTAAACAACCAGAAAACAAAAAAAATCCGTTAGTTGGAAAAAAAACAAGCAACAAATCTAATCAAGAGTGCATTATACAACAAAGACAAATACTCATTTATCTTATCATCTATTAAAAAGCATGAGTGAAAATGGCAGCAGTAAAAATGTGGAGAGAAATATAGAAATATGGGAAGAGAAAGACATACTTTCTTTCGGATTTATTTAACCGAATAGCTTTTCCTTTAAATTGATAAAAGGTTCCTTTTGACTTGTGACCGTTTTTGTGTGGATAAAATTATTCTCGCGTTGCATCGAAATTCCAGAAACGTTTATTCTAAGAACGTATTTTATCCGTAAGTTACTGTTTCTCTCCTTATAAACTAAAAATACATAAAATAAATAGTGATAGTATGGTTTTATCATACTGACCTAAAGAAAATAATCAGTTATCAACAAGCAGAATAACAAAATTGGATCGGATGGTGTCACACGTATAAATCGTGTGAAGTACAGCGTAATGTATATTGAAGCCGGAAAATATTTTATCGACATATTTACAAGAGACTTGGTCGATTGAATCTGAGCTAGAGATTGTGGGTCATCGGAAGATACGATGACTGCAAAATCAGTGTCGCGAAAAATATTATTTGACTTGAATTCATAAATGAAGGCTTAATGCTTTTCACGTAATGAAAAGAATAAATTGACTACATGACCAACAAACGGTCTCGTTCAAGTATTTGTCAGTAACTCTGTGTATGGCATACAGCAAAGAAATTAATTGATATCATAGTAGTGCGTTTGATTCTTACTGTATTTGATAATAATAACATTCTTCATCAGGATAGAATGACTTGTTCTTGACATTCGTTCTTGCACAAAGAATACATCATTCACAAAATTTTTCTTTTCGTTTGAGTGTAGATGAAAAAAGAATGAAACCAAATATATTTGATATGCATGATTAGCCTTTATTTTGCTTTTCTATAGTTTATTTGGACATAACTATCAATCATATTCCCTGTTCTTGATAGTATAACTTCTTTTTGCTGATGAAGATAGTAAACCAATCGAATACCAAGATTAATAATGGTCAAACAAATATAGTCGTCAATGCGATACCAAGAAAAGAAAATCGAACAGAATGGTCTCTCAAATAACTTCGTTGTCTTTCAGACTCATTTTGTTATACGTTATGGGGTGTGAGTGTAAGTGTGAGTGCGTGTGTTTTGATTGGGATGAAGAGAAGATTCACATCCATACCCACACCCATCCCCTAATCGAGACGTTCGTTCTTTTTTTATAAAAAATCATTCTCAATTCGATTATTATTGAAGATATTTCCGTCGATTCGAAAACATTCGATTTGATTCCTTGTCATTATTGAGAAATCTCGAAATAATCGATCGATATTAAACAAAAATCTTGAATGATGATCGAATTCAAACGAAAGATTGATGAAAATCTTCTTTCATGTTGAATATTGAAAAGAAATTTCTCTTCGAAATCAATAAAAACTGATTGATGTTGAACACAGAGCAAAGAATTGATCAATCATTTCTAATTTGATCTCGGAATTTCTGTTTTCCTCTTGTTCATTATTTAGCTTTCTTGTTATCGATCGATTATTATTCGAAGCGAAAAAACGACTTGGTCAAATAAAATAACTTCGACGAATTTCCGATTGAATCATTCGAGATTTAAAGAAAAACAAATCTCTCTAAGATTAATTGTACATGTTTAATCGAAGAAGAATCAAATTTAATTTGGACATGACAACACGAACAATCCGACTTAGATGTGTAGAAATCTTCTCCAAATTTCAAATTGGTGTGTTGCTGTGAGATATGAATGAATAACTCTTCCATACCTCACATCCACACCCGCACTCACATCGACACATCTGTACTCACATCGATATATCCACATCCACACTATAACTTACGCACTTCCGAAAGCTTTTCCCAGATAGAATAGAAGGATATAATACTTAATTAAAAAAATCTTGATTTCAAATTAGTTAATATATAAGGTGTTCCGTAAGCCGTTAGTCAAAGAAAAATTTGAACATCTCCATCATATTTTGACCAAATGGGCTGGTATTTTTACCACTGACAGAGGAGTGTTGGTGTGTGGGTGTAGATGTGGATATGAATGTGAGGTGTGAATGCGGCTGTGGGTATAAGTGTTGGTCGTCTTGTTGCTCACA